CACTTTTGATAGGTCTGTCTTGGAGTACGTAAAATCCTATATATCTGCGCAGCATCTTTGATGAACACGGTGGATCTGATGCAGATGTGAAGGCACAGATTGGAAAAGCAATGGCTGCATTTCTACAACTGATCTACATCTGCAACTCCAAACAAATGTCAACTAATCACCAAAATCAGAATTTTTAATACAAATGTCAAGACAGTTCTACAGTTTTCTACGTAGAATACTTCGGATCCGTTGACCAGACACTATCAGTGACAACCTACTGTGGGAAAGAACAAACCAGATTCCAGAGGAGCAGGAGAAAATCAGGAAGAAGCAGTGGAAGTGGATAGGACACACATTGCGGAAAGGACCTAACTGCGTCACAAGACAAGCCCTCACTTGGAACCCTCAAGTTCAAAAGAAAAGAGAAATGTCAAGAAACACATTACTCCGAAAAGTCCAGAAAGAGATGAGAAGAATGAACAAGAACTGGACAGAACTGGAAAGGCAAGCCCAGTACGAAGTAGGTGTGAAAATACTGGTAGTCGGCCTATGTCCGATTGAGCGTAACAGGTGTAAGTCAAATAAGTAAGGTTCCATTGAATAATGAATATTTTTGAACCACTTTTCTCTAATAACAGAAATTCGCTTTAACATTTTTGATCTTGCATACTATGCAATGATATGGTATCAAGAAGAATAGATAAAACCTGTTCTGCGAAACAAAGTATACCAATAATTTGTCGACAAAGTTTAAAACTTAACGGAACTCATACATACATTAAAGTGTTAATTAAATTCACAATAAATAACACTCGATCATTAGGTGATGTTTAAAGTTTCTGAAAAATAATAGGATGAAACAAATTTTTCAACCAATCTGTATGGTTTTTTCAGGGATAAATATTTTCCCGCGTTGTTGAAATTTAAAACTGACCTATTCAATAACCACGTTGTATTCAGTTCATGACTCATTAAAAAGAAACAACTAATCCTGCTGTTCATTTGGTCATGTCATGTCAGTTACAATGTAGGACGTACGCACATACATTAACATACAGCTATAACTTTCAATTCACATCCCATAATGGTAGAGGTAGTACAAGTATGAGCAGTAATCGGAAAGATCACGGTTTAAATATATTATTCAAGATGTATAATCCAATGAAATAGATTTGAGATTAGAAAGATGAAAGTCATGAGGAATTCAGAAGAGATTAGAATTTGTGGGAAGACAAAGAGTGGATACACCTTGGCCATTGTGAACGATTTTGAGCCATGTCATTCAAAATCTCTAACCATCGGTTACTAATGTCTGGCGGATGTCAACCAGGTAATCTACACCTATCAACATGCCACAATGTAGGAACGTATGCTACAGATATTGCATGTATCCTATTGGTTGACTGACCTACTGACTGATTAACAAACTTTAATTGATAGATTAAGCATTAGAGTTATATTTAGTAGAAAAAAAGTATACTACTTTTGTCAATATAAAATACTATAAAATGTAACTTATTTACTAATGAAACGCCTATATCACAGTATGTGAGAAGTTGAATGAAATGTTAACTGGTTTCTCAAGTCAATATAAATAGAGATGGAATTGTCATTTCAGATCCCATAGTAGTAGGGCGAGTAACAGTATTAGCAGTAATCGAAGATTAGGGTTCGAAGATATTATAATACGGTGAAGTAAATTTAAGAAGAGGAAGTTAGAGGTGCTGACGAATCCAGAAGATTAGAATTTGAGAGAACACAAAGAATACATGCGTCTGCGCCATTGCAAACGATTTTGAACCATGTCATTCTAGGTCTCTAACCATTGATTACTATCATCTCATGGTAGTCTACACCTACTAATATGGCTCAATTCAGTTGTCAGTGACTTCATGGATTTATGCCATATTTTGATCTGGCCACTCCTAGCTTTACTGTGGATTTGGTGCTGAATGAAAATAATGAAACCGAAATCTTATTAAAGCCGTTTTTGAGTTTCCGGATTTTGTGTAAACTGTAAACTTAGCATAAAATTGTACATGTTATGTGATGATGTTTCCGAATAAGTTTGAATAACAGTAAAAACCTAATCACATGAACATGAAATCGTAAGAAGAGATCGACTCTTTTTTTCACTTCTTTGCTCAAGATTACGTCAGCTTTTCTATTCACTATGATAAAAAAAAAACTATACAGCTTAAAATTCGTTTATTTAGGAGGGTAATACTGAATCAACACACATACTATCAATTTTGCGTTCAAGATCATGGTGATTTTAGAAAAAATAGTATGAACTTCGTTCAGCATAACTTGTATCATGTGATTTGTGATTATTCAATGTGTTTGTCCTAAATGTAATTCATTTGAATGAGTCATCAAAGTTGTTATTAAGTTTGTTTGTTTGTAAAAAAAAATCACTGTGGAAATGAGTGTACATTAGTAAATGACAATGTAATTGAAAGATGAAATAATTAGTTCTCGAGTTGTTATTTTGCTTCTTGTCCATATGGGAAAATCAACACTGAGTGCTGGAACATTCAACCAACGAGTCTCAAGCTAACGCCTTCCAGTGGTGATCATTATCCAACTTCACTTGCAAATGTTTGTAGCTGATGCTAGTATAGAAGCAATTGGCTGAGGATGAACGTATGTCAAGAGATACTGGTACAGAGATAGCTATCCTGAAAACAAACAACTAGAGATTCTGGACTTCTAGTGAGAAGTTGTCGCCAGTGGAGTTCAACTGTGGTGTGTGTGAGCAAGTTACACACCGCACACAATGCAAGATGCTAGCACAGTGTCGTGTATTGAATGAAGTTAGACATTAACATGTTTAGATGTCTTTTCAATGGTGTTAAAGGTTAGATGTTCACATGCGTTTTTGGTTCCTGAGTACAGGTTCGTGGTTGGACACTACTGATCAGCCAAATTCTAGGATGAATAAGTCATTCAGTGCTTTCACATACATAATAGTAGTTTAACTTAGATCAGTTCACGATTTGAATGATATTGAAAACCTGTATTTCCTTGTTTTATGGTCACTAGTCCTATTGTAGTGAAGGAGAACACAGGTGGGGGCTACCGAATCGTATTTATCGAAAATTACAGAGTTACTCAGTAAAATAGGAAAACCACATCGTAATCGGTTAATTTCAAATCTTCAATACATCATCAATCCACTGTCTGACATTTCACTATTCATGCGTTTCATACAAATTCCATTGTGTTCCCACTCTTCCTTTCTTGATCTTCCCCCATTTACTGCTGCCAGACATTACGACTTCATTCGCGTCATATACTACTTATAAGTAGCGCGCACCACACTATTGAAATAATTATCAGAATGCCAAGAGCATATTTTCACTGTTAGTTGGTATTTATAAACATGTAGAATTTGACTTCTGTGAGGACAATCAGGCTTTACAAGATTTCAGTGACAAAGCTAGTAACCAATGTGTATATGGTAATTACTAAAACTTGTTCTCTGAAGATTGCTGTATTCATACACTCAGCTAAAAGATATGCAACTCTCCAATAAATTTTTCATTATCGAGAAATGAAACTTAAGCAAGAACGAGAAACTTTTCATCACAACTAGATTCATTCATTTTATTGTTGCCATTTAGTTGCTTATAACATATAAACAAAGTAATTGTTTGCAAACACAGTTGGATAGGGTCGAACACTGAAGTCTATGATGCGTGTTCCAACCTATCTAGGACTTGTACCTGCATTTGTGGTGTTTTGTGATGTAGGAGTAGGTTGAAAGAAAGTTAGGGGTGGCCAAACCAAAACATGGCACAAATCCATGAAGTCACTGACAAGTGGATTGGGTCATGTTGGTAGATGTAGGCTACTTGGTTGGAGTCCGCAAGACGAAAGTCACCAATGGTTAGAGACGTTGAATAACTTGGCTCAAAATCATTTACAATGACGCAGGTGCATCCATTCTTTGTGTTCTCTCTAATTCTAACCTTCTGAATTCCTCATAATCTCTACCTTTCTCCTTCGAAATTTATCTCACTGAATTATACTTTTCGAAGTATATCTTTGCTCCCCAATCTTCATTACTGCTAATACTTCTACTATCACTATCACCACTGAGCCGGTACCTAATGGTGTTAATGTCTAACTTCAATCAATTCATAGAGTCGCGTAACCTCATACGCAGTCTTTGGTAGCTGACGTCTACACCCGTACAGGTTGAACTTCACTGATCACGACGTCCCACTAGCAGATTGCCCACAGAGCTAGTCACTTGTGAGCATAAGTAATTGCATTACGGGGTTGTGCAAGACCCAAAATCGTAGGTTCGAATCCTACGAAGTGCAGGAGTCGTGGATACGCACTACCACTGATGAGTAATCCCATACCAGGACGAAACGGCCGTCTTTCAGTGCTTCCAGGTTTCTAATGCTAGTCTAACATTGTTCAATTCATAATTTCAAATGTGTAACTCACAAATCTTAACAACACCATTTTAACAATTTCTCGAAAAAAAAGAAATCAAGTTCACAATAAAATTTAAAAAAAAGTAACATAAACTTCAAAACCAACAATAAATTAAGAACGTACTTAATACGTACGTTATCTATAAATAAAAAAACCAAAATTTCTCATGACAAATTTTAAAACTTGATTTATAAAAAAAACTAAATACCCTACCTAATAAATCCACCTACGTATTTATTTTATACAAAGTAGTGAGTGATATAATAATAAAATACGGTAATTTCTTTTAATATATCAAAAATTAACAAACTACTCATTGTGTGTTTTTAGTATGACATTTTATTGCTAAATGCACTGTGATTTAGTGTAAACAAGAAATGTGTACCTGAACTGCACACACACACACACTCAATAATAATGGTGTAATTTACATGTAAACGCATGTGAACATGTATGCGTATATGTATAGTGTCAGACAAATATATGTATATATATAACTCAGTACACACATATCATAAAGCAATAATTTTACAATAATCAGTAATTAACAAAACACCATGTTTAACTTGTTCTACAACAGAGTTTACATTTGGTGTACAATCATCGTTTTGTTCAATTTACTATTGAATGGAATTTGTAAGTTAATTATTATGAGTAATGCATTTATGAAAGGAAAATATGCATTTTTATTTTTTATTTTTTTTTACAATGTTATACAAGATCGTTTTTGGCGTCAATTTGACTTGATGATAACTATTAGTGATGATAACTATTGATAAGTTGGCAGATTAGCTGAGTTCTTGTTTATTCTTACTTACTTACGCCTGTTACCCCCAATGGAGCATAGGCCGCCCACCAGTTTTCTCCAACCAACTCTGTCCTGGGCTTCCGTGTCCAGTTCTGTCCAATGTTTGTTCATCCCTCTCATATCTTTCTCTATTTCTCGGCGTAATGTGTTCCTTGGCCTTCTTCTTTTCCTTTTACCTTGAGGGTTCCATGTGAGGGCTTGTCTCGTGACGCAGTTCGGTGCTTTTCGTAGTGTGTGTCCTATGCACTTCCACCGCTTCTTCCTGATTTCCTCGTCCTCCACTGGAATCTGGTTTGTTCTCTCCCACAGTAGGTTGTTGCTGATGGTGTCTGGTCAACGAATCCGAAGTATTTTGCGTAGATAACTGTTAATAAAAACAGTTGTATCTTCTGGATGATGCCTTTCGTATTTCTTCAAGTTTCCGCTCCATACAGTAGAACTATCTTGACATTTGTATTGAAAATCCTGATTTTGGTTTTGGTTCTTGTTTATTCTGATCAATATTAATAATAGGTGTTATTTTCATTAGGCATTTACTTGCTTACTTCATTTACTCCTGTTACTCATAATGGAGTAGTATAGACCGTCAACCAGTTTACTCCAGTTAACTTTGTTATGACATTTTCTTTCTAGTTCCACCCAACTGCTATTCCATTCGTTTAGTTATGTCTGCTTCCAATTCTTTTGACGCAGTGTAATTCTTGATTTACCTCGTTTTTCTTTTGGCCTTCAAGGTTCTAAGTTAGAGCTTGAGTGGTGATGCAATGTGTGTGTCCTTGTCCACGTCCAATATTAGTTCCTAATTTCTTCCCCCCTCGGCTGAAATCTGGTCTGTTCTCTTCTGCTGTAGGTTGTTGTCGATAGGGAATACATGAGTTATAACTCACATACTTCATGATAACAAGTTTAAAAAGAAAGTTTAACCGAATACAGCTTTAATTGAATATTATTTGTAATATTATGAAATATGATAACTAATAATATAATTGACAATAAATTAATATGTCTATTCTAGTTTGTTTTGCTACAATTGAGTAGTTTAGATTTTTTAATTTCACTCATAGAGAACAGATCTCACAAGAAACCATGTTATAAGACATAACTGGTAAGTGTTGTTAATAACAGTGAATTAGTCTTTAGTGGCTTACATTCATCCTAAGGTTCAGTAATATTATTTAGATGTGTGTTTCGTCTTTTTGTTTGAGTCTTGTCAACCGAAGTTACCACCAGTATTCTAGATGAGTTGGTTGGGACATGTGTTACGTATGTCTAATCACCGACTGCCTTGTCGAGTTATGTTTTGCGATATAGGAATAGGTTGGAAAAATGCTAGGGGCGACCAGACCAAAACATGGAAAAAATCCATGAAGTCACTGACAAGTGGACTGAGTCATGTTGGTAGGTGTCGACTACCTGGTTGCCGTCCGTGAGATGATAGTAATCGATGGTTAGAAACCTTGAATGATCTGGCTCAAAACCGTTTGCAACGGTACAGATGCATCCATTCTTTGTGTTCTCTCAAATTCTAACCTTCTGGATACTTCAACACCTCTAGTTTTGTCTTTCTAAATTGACTCACCTCACTGAATTAAACTTCATGAATAACATCTTCGAACCCTAATCTCTCCGATCACTTCTAATACTTTTACTATCTCTACTAAAATGGGATTTGAATTGACACTTGCGTCTCTGTGCTAATATGGTATGGCAACTCGAACTGATGTACTTACGTGCAACGTTCTACTTTGCTGTTGTTGGTGATGATGATGACCAGTATTCTAGCGTTGATGTTCACCATGAGACTAGAACATAAGTACCTTTCGCACGGAAAAAATCATTCAAACGTATAGAAACCGTTCGTAATTACATTCTTTAAGACAGATAACTTGGACTTTGGGTTTTCATTGTTATTTTAAACAACATCATCAGTCCCTTATTTCCTGTGGCGCAAAACTTTTCTTACTTATTCCACAAATGTTAGATCATTTCTTGTTGTCACCATTTTTTTCTCTTAATGATACAAAGCAATCGGAAAAGCTTTATTTCTTATGAAGTCTAAACAAGTAAATTACCAATTCTCAATTCTATTTTGTAATATTGCGCTGTTGTGTCGACTTTACCTCATTCATAACGTTATTTAGATTTTAATAATCATCTGTGTCGAAGAGAGGTATTGAATTTGTTTATGGGGAATAGATGTACATGTAAAATTTATTCAGCTTATAGAAGTTATATTGAATGAATATTAGTTGTTATTTAGAAATATTATTGACCGTATTGATATATGGATTCAACTCAAATCTTTATAACTGTTGTATCAATATTTAGATGGGCTTTTAGTAATCAATAGACAACAAGGTCGAGGGACTTGTTTCTCTATGCCCATTACTAACTTGCCCGGGTTGGAAAGGAATGACAAAGAACAATGACCATTAGTCTGAAATTCTGTCACAATACTTCAGACATTTCTTGATATACATATAAAACCAGACCAAAATTGGCTGTCATTAGAGGGCGACTGTGAATTATAGCCTGTTAACAGAATGAGAACAGTGGATGATAGGATAATAATGGCACGGGATCCCTGAATGATATGGCACAAAATCCTTTACAGTGGTACAGATGCATCCGTTCTTTGTTTTCTCTCCAAATTCTAATCTTCTGATTTCCTCATCATCTCTATTATTCGTTTTCTAACTTTATTTCACCGAATTATGCTTCTTGAATAGTATCTTCAAAACGTAGTCTTCTTCATTACCGCTAATACTTCTACTACATCTACCACTATAGGATTTGAATTGACAATTCAATCTCTCTGTACTTATGTGGTATGAAAACTTGAACCGATGTACTTATGTACGAAGTTCTACTTTGTAACTAACTGACTGACTGAATGAATGAATGAATGAGTGACGTTGTACCTTGGAACCAGTTAGAATGAGGTGGGAATTATTATTCTTGTCTCATAGCTTCTAGTATGCACAGTATTTACTTACAGAAAGCCAGGAATAATTCAAAATTTTCTACGATGGAAATACCACCCTGCCCTACTAACGGACGTGTTATGAGCAGCGTAATCAGACATGATGAAAGAAAAGTTACCTTACAGCATAATTCATCCCTTTAATCAATTTATTAATAAAAAATATTCTTAAATATTAACAATTTTGTGACTAAATGAACCAAAAAACATGATTGTTTTAACTGACTAAAATGCTAGTAGATTATGTGATTAAGTGTAGTTTATTGCATATTGATAATAATTTGTGGGTTAACCGAAATACATATCTTGTAGGCTAGTTATCTAATGAGTATTCATTCATTATGTACAAAGAAACGGCTTTAGTAAAATAGCTTCTAGAGTTAATTACCTCTTAGTTAAATGAGCCCTCACAGTAGTTAGAAAATTTCATTGAAATCATGAGTCGATCATTGTTAAACCACAATCAGAAACCTGGAAGCACGAGAGAATCGAATTCAAATTCTTCGGTCTAGGGTGCGAACGCATAACTTCCAGACAACTGAACCAGCATTCAATGGTGTCAATGTCTAACTTCAATCAATCCAAGGTATTGTGCAAGCTCACTCATTGTTGTCGGTGTATAACTGCCTGCACCCGCAGGGGTTGAACTCCGTTGGTGGTATAACAACCATCGATTCATGATTTCAATAAAACTCAACAATTTTCATAACTCTATGATGAAAAAAGTACGGAAATTGTTTCAAGATATATAACTTGCATAAAAAATTCACTTTTATTTTCATTTCAGTTGGACAAGTAGAAGAAAATGGTAAGTTTCTCTTGTTATCTTTTCTTAAGTTCTGTGTTTGATTTCAGTAGAATTTTTATAATGGTTTTGAATTATTTTTTTTTGGTTACAGTTTTTCTAGCGAGTTACAGGTAGCTAGCCCCACGTTCAACCCTCCTCCCTTGTTCGGGTTTGAGACTGGCATTAGCCCCAGAGGGGATCCGATATAGAGTTAGAATTTTCACAATACTGCTTCTTAAAGAAGCACTGAAAAGTTAATTCTTAATCATATGAAACTGCATAGTAATATGCGTCAGTAATTAATTCCAAATGTAATAGTTACTTGAACAACTGTAGTGAAATGGAAATATCATAGAATATTAAGGCGTTTGTTAATGGGATCTCAAATACATGATCGGCTTTTATTGTAGTGAAGAAGAACACAGGTTGGGCAACCGGACTGTATTTAACGAAAATTACAGAGTTACTCAGTAAAATAGGAAAACCATATCATAAATCGTTAATTTGCAAAATATCAATCCATCATATCGAACTGGACTGTTCCTGTTGCAAAACATCAATCCATTGTCTGACATTTCACTATTCATGCGTTTCATACAAATTCCATTGTTTTCTAACTCTTCCTTTCTTGATCTTCTCCCATCTTCTGCCGCCAGACATTACGTTGACACTCACGTCATATACTACTTATAAGTAGCTCGCACCACATTACGATTATTCTCTTAATAAATATGAATCATTCAACGTTTTAAGCATTGAATATTGAACGAAAAATGATATTTTAATTTTATTTATGATGCACGTGTACTTCGGAATAAATTTTTCCAAAACATGTAGTTTTTTTTCTTATTTCTTTTGATTTAAACAACAAATATTCCAAAAAAATAATAATTTATTATCAAAACTCCACTATAAATAAATTCTATTGTACATAAATTATTTTGATAGAAAGAATGTCAGATATTTGAAACCAAAATAAAAACAAGTTTCATTTTAAATGAGATTGATCATTTGTTTGGTACAATCGAGAAAAATCATGAACTTTTTGTAACAAAACAATTATTACACATGAATAAAAAACCACAAAACACAAAACTTTGTGCATTTTTAAAATGTGCGAAGTTAAGCATTTATTTTTTTTTAAACATTGTCCAATAAAAATAAAATGGCAATTTGTAAATGAACTGAAAAGTATAGTGTATTTATTACACGCCTATTGGACATTGAGAACTACATACGTTACAATTTCACGGATAGGCGTCCTATCCACTTCGAACACTCAGAGAATTTGAAATTCTCTTTCATTAGAGACTTGTGCTTATTTGACTACTTCACTATGAAGACAAGTTTTATGTGAATCGTCTGATTGTCAGGTGATAGTTTACATAGTGAAATGGCATCACTAATTAAACCTACTAATTGATTACGACTCATGTGTTCAGTGGCCGCGCTGAATGCTCTTTGCTCTTCCGTTAGCTTAAATTACTCATGTATAACCTTCAAAAGCTTAAGTTGACCTGCTTAAAAATTTCTAACATATAAATGTTTCAGCAAGTTATCTAATTTTTTTTCACTTTTCACAAGTCAGTGATGACTTTTAATCGCACAAATTGATTCATGTGCGTATATACTATCCTAACAGTCGATCGCTTCACAAGGTACAAGGGTGTACAGTCCGGAAAATTAGGGTAGCTGATTATTGGTCCCAATGAGAATGAAAGTTTGAATTGAATTCTTCCAACTGACAAACAATAAACGTTTTGTCAAGAAATCTTGTTACAATATTCCTTACCGAAAACTACATATTATACTAAACACACGATATTGAACAAAGACATTATTATTATTATCAGTATTATTATTGAAATTATGAATTTTTAGTTGTTAGACCACCATTAGAAAACTGGAAGCACTGGATCGGCGTTTCGTCCTGATATGGGACTCATCAGCAGTTCACATCTATGAATCCCACCACTCATAGGATTTGAACACAGGTTATTCAGTCTTCGTGCAAACGGCTAATGTCTGGATCATTGAACTGGCATCCGACAGTGTTAGAGTCTGATAGCTCTTATCAGTTTAAGGTTTTGCTCAATCACACTTATTGTCTTCGCTAGTTACTGCCTGTATCTGAAAAGGTTGAACTCCATTGGTCACGTATTCTCATTGAAACTCCGAAAATTTACTTACTAAACTATTCACTGGCGAGCAATGCTGATGAGTCCTAGAAAAGGACGATCCAGTAATCCTGGGTATCTAATGACGGTCTCAAAGTGATTGTTTCATGATTTCAACAATAAATAACAATCTGCATAACTCTATAATGAAAAATTATTATTATTATTGTTACTATGAAAAACTACCTGCACTTCAATTATTGTGAACCTTATCATTAATTATATTACTCTTGTTATTTATATTTTTGTATTCTACAGAAAGCTCTAGTACTGGTAAGTTTGATCAGTATATTATTTGGTTTACTACATACATGCACTTTTTCATCGTGTTTATTGATCGATTGTTGAACACTGATAGTGGGCATTGAAATGTAGATTTTGATTCATACATTCGTTGCCTGTAAAATAAGAATGGTGTGAAATAAATTGATCAATGTACCGTGATGAGATATTTCGTGTTTTTGTTCCTTCTAGTCAGAAATGTTTATTTGAATTGAAACCGTTGTTTCTCAGTATCTGAGTTGACTTTATTTGAACTGTGACTTCGTTGTTATGAACATAAAATGTCTCAATTAATAACAATGACCGTCTTCTATCCTAGGTTTTTAACGTGGACTAAATTCTTTTGATTTTATTTGTTAGATTTAGCTGACTTTTAGAATTTTGTAGTGAATTGCGCGACACTTAGAGTCAGTCAGCTTGCGTTAATCATAAAATCAGTGCCAGCTATGTTTTGATACATAAGAGAATCGATCTAGACCAGTGGTGACAACAAAGACAAAGTTAAAACCATTTCTTTTTAGGTACATGATTAGCACAGACATGGTCATTTCTCTAGATTCGAAATATGTTTTTCTTCCGAAATTACAGATATGGTATATACCTGAGGAAATTATGTTTAACTACGTTGGTTTCACAAAATCGAATTGCTTAACTAAAGCATTAGGTTGTTATTTTGACCAACATCTTCAAACTTCTATTTTAAGTGGAAGGTAGTATTCTAAACATTTTTCCGCATACACAAAATCGGTTAGTTTTAACCGATGACTGTGTCAGCTGTGCGCGGATTGGCTAATTTCCTATCCAATCAGTGCTGGTCGATACTTGGAGTACATTCCAGAAGTTTCTTATGTAAAAGCTATAAAGATACTGACGTTGTTCCTATTTTGCCTTCACTTTGGCTTCTAACTTTCATTTAACCTTGCTACTTGGAATATAATCTCTTTCTAGTTCAACCATGTTCTAATTCGGGGATTCGTTGAGTGTTTTGTTTGTTTTCAGAGAATACTGAGTTATAGGAATAGCTAGGGTTTTTTAAGAGAGAATTATAACATCATGGTTGTGATTAGGCGTCTTAACAGGATTTATTACTTTCATACTCCATTGGATTCTGACTATTTGTTTTGTTAGCTTCAACTCTAAGCACTCGACTGACAGATCTCATGAAGACAGATAGTGTGATAGTTTTTATATATCTTGAACCGTTTATTTATTCATGTTAGGCATGAATTACATAACACACAACGGTAGTCTGCTTACGAATTCCTTAAATCAAAACCATGGCCATTCTGAGTAGAAGATATTCGTAGGTTACCGGTTTTCGATCATAGGTGTCTTCGAAGCATTGCTCGAGTATCTTGGGACAACCGAATAAGCAATGGTGTTGTTAGGAGACCGTTTCTAAGTAAAGACTGCAGGTCAATAGATGAAGTTATGAGACTTCATCAGTTGGGGTGGTTGGGACATGCGTTACGTATGCCTAACCATTGACTGCTTCGTCGAGCTATGTTTTGCGATATAGGAATAGGTTGGACGAAAGCTAGGGGCCGTCAGACCAAAACACAGCACAACACCATGAAGTCACTGACAAGTGGGCTGAGTCATTTCGGTAGTTGTCGACTACCTGGTTGGGGTCCGGGAGATGATAATAATCGATGATTAGGGACCCTGAATGATATAGCTCAAAACTGTTTGCAATGGCGCACGTGCATTTACTTTTTGTGTTTTATGAAATTCTGACCTTCCGAATTCCTCATCACCTCTATTATTCTCTTTCTGATTATACCTCACTGAAATATACTTCTTTTATAACATCTTCGAACCCTAATCTCTCTGTGGTTATTTTGGTATGGCAACTTGAACTGCTGTACTTACGTGCAAAGTTCTACTTTGCTGTTGTTGTCGATGAGGATGATGAAATCATAACTATTTAAGTCGTGTATTTTCTATTTGCACACATCGGTTTAACTAATTGTACATCGTGTAACTTAATGAAATTCTGACACTATAACTTTAAGTTTTTGTCTTTTTGTTTTCATTATTTCGATTCATAGAACACACAGATGAAATCAGTTCCAGTAAGTCAAATCATTTCTCCTTTATATTTTGCATAATTCTAAATATCTCTATATTTCGATAAAAAAACTAAGTCCTGTGAATTATTTTCCTTTATTGAACTTGTTATTCTATATTAATCTTTTAAATGAGACTGAATTTTATCAACTTTTCGAATGTTTATTAATTCAATAAGAGATACACAGTGAGGTAATAGTTTAATGGAATATTATTTGAAAACTCATTGCTTCCTACTAAGGGTAAAGCTGTGTATTGAGTTCCTAATTGTTAGATCAATCAATCAATCAATCGATCCGAAGTTGGGTGTCAACTCAATCTTGCATTCTGCTTGACAACACTCTGTTGAAGACTGTTGCCGCTGTAGTTTTCACACTTTTTTAGATATCCTTTCTTTGATATTTTGATCAAGTGTTCTTCTTTCCAGCCTGTTGGTACTTGATTACCCTCCCAAAACTCGCTAAAGCGAGTGCGATGTGCAGATGTGATCGATTTGGTTCTGTGTAGTTTGATCCAGTATAACCTATGTAGCTTAGTGCATGAGTGTGTATGGGAATATGGTATCACCTCTAGGTATTTTGCATAAACTGTGTTTCAGTGGTTGGAAGTACCATAAGGTTGTATCTTTTCATTTCCTTAGCTACTTGAATGACTCCCTAGAGATCCTGTAGTTTTAGAACATTCCATAACCCTATTTTGATAGTTACTTTGGTTGTGATAAGCGGCATCGGCTTTGTGACCAATGAAGAAACTTCGCTTCTACTCATGATATGCGATAACTATTTTAGATAAAGGCATTTCAACTCCAATAGCAAAGTTTGAATGATTTTAAGTATTTGTTCTAGCTAGCATTTTATATCGTGTTTATTTCCTACGAAATAGAGCGGCTAAGCCCATCCTCAACACTTCTTATATATCCGTGATTGTGATTAACAGTAACCCTAGAAGGGAGACAACTGAACTTTATTCTTCTAACTGACAATCACTAATCGTTTTGTCAAATAACAAAACTCGTTGAAATATTCCATGCTGAGTAATCCATTTTGTTCTAAACACATGATATTGAATAAAGCCATTATTAGTATCTTTACTATTATTATTATTATTATTATTATTATCATTATTAATATGAAACACTGCCTGCACTTCAATAATTTTGAACTCCATCATTTAATTATGTTACTCTTGTTATTTGTATTTTTGTATTTTTCAGCAAGCTCTAGTACTGGTGAGTTTGATCAGTATATCATTCCGTTTACTACATGCATGCACTTTTCATCATGTTTATTGATCGATTGTGGAACACTGATAGTGGTCATTGAAATGTAGATTTTCAATCATACATTCGTTGCCTGTAAAATAACAGTGGTGTGAAACAGACTGATTGATGTACCGTAATGAGTAATTTTTTTACTGTTAGTTGCTACTGATCAAAAATGTTAATTTGAAAATGTGAAAGAACTAATGCTTTGAGTAGAATTTATATCCGTTTTTCTCAGTATCTGACTGTTGAATTGTTACTATTGAACTTATTGATTTGTGACTAATGTGTGCTGAGCATAAACATCCTGAGGAATGATAATTATTATCTTCCCTTCTTGATTTCCAAGTTAAGATAATTTTACACTGACACTTCATTTTATTCCTTTAAATTTAACTAAATATTTGTTGTAGAGGTGGCTGAGTTAGATTCTACGTCGAGGCTCACCACTTTTGTAGGCTGTGTCGAACTCTTAGTAGGACTCACCACTTTAAAGGCCCGTGAGCTGCATGCAACAATCAATCTCTAAATATCATTACATACGAACAACTACGGACATACGTTCGACTGGAGAAATCTTGAAAAACTGGATAGGGTAGCAGAAAACTAGAGAATTTATAGAAGCTTGGAACTCTGGTCAGTCAGCAATCAACAAACACATCGACACTGACTCAATTTATCAATCAATCAACAAAACCATGAGCAATCATAGGATCAAAAAGCAGATCAAAGAGGGATACAATCAATATCGAGGTTAACAGAAAAAGCTGCGAGTCACATGTGGAGAAATTCGAATACTTTACTTCTATCCGACGTTTGTGATGAGGATGTTGTTCAGGAGAAGAACAATGAAAGTTCCACAACGGGAACATCCAGCTCAGAGAACGGAACTCCACTATAAATAAATGAAAATGTTTCATAACAACGACTATTGTCTAATTCAAGTCGATTTTCTATAAGGATATCAGATTGTCACCTCTCTTCGTTGAAGAATAGTTGTTAAGAAATCATCATACCAACAGATTACATGAAGTGTTATTGCACTATATTAAAACTACAAATAATGTCAGAAATTTGTTTAAACTACTACTAATGTGATTGTACTCCTTGAATCCTTTGGTGAACGTCATATTTTCATCGTTAATGTTATGCTTGTCACTTGATATGCTTGAAATTATTACGAGTTCACCATAGTCGATAAACAAGAACGAGACAATGAACCAGTGACACGGTAGGCTACTCTGATCTGTTGCCCCAAACTAACTGACGAAAAAGTCTTGTTATTTGCGTAGAAAGTGTATTCTACAAACATCCAGCCAGCACACAATAAATTCAAGCATACAAATAGTGTTTATTTATACATGAAAGAAACGTCCTTAGGAATTACACAGTAACCAATCACAGCCAAGGATTTTACTGGTGGGAAATGTGATCTCAAGGTCAACCGGTTATCCCATGAATAACATCCAAAATTAAGGCCTTTATCAAGTGAATTCTAGGTATCTAACGTCCTCAACAGTTAATGTCGTGTAGTTTTCTAATCATTGCCTAACAGTTCTCAAAAGAAACTATCAATTTTTCTAACATCTTATATCAAAGATATTGATACGAAACAAATAACCATTCAAGCATAAAACGATCGTTTATCAATACAATGGAATAAGAAAATTAACTATTTTTCTACAGTTTAACGTTTAACCTTGTTGGTATTCATATTCAGAAATTTTTTTTTGATTGCTTTTCTAAATTGTGATTATTTAAAATTTGTAGATACAACAGTTATTGTTAGTACAACAAGTAAGTTGAGAGTGTTGGTTGAGATTTTTCAAGATTGTTATAACATGTTGACTAGTATTTTAGACACAAATTTCTAGTGAATTATTAGGAATTTGTCATAATTCAACCGTTCATTTTGTTTATAAATTTTTAAAATGAATGATTGAATGTATGGAACTGTGCATGAATTATTCACCTAAAAGTATAAAGAAATTATTAGTAGTATTGTTATCATTACTAGTTAAACACATAGTTATTAGTATAAAGAGGCATCTAATCAATAAATGTGTGTTCGGGATGGGGTACTGTCACACTATGCAGACAGAAAGAGATTGTTCTCTTTGAGGACTGTTCATCGTGCCTTGGACTGACAAGTCTAATCCACAAGGTAGTGGGACAACATTAAGAAATCCAATCCCGTGGTAGCAGGTGACCAATAATAGGTTCATACACCGTTTGTTTCATCAGGATCCTGGAATCTATGTCTACCACTGATTTGGATTCAGAGGTATTCTACTCCTCTAGGTGGACCACCAGTACCCACTAATCCGGTTTAAGCCCCGGCCAGTCATTCGCTATTTATCCTCCTTATTTGGTAGATCAATCTGTTCTACAAGTCAGTGAATAGGACTTCCTTGACAGTGGTTACATACATGCAGCTATATGAATGCATTTTGAAAGGGATTGCGAAGTTTCTACTCTCCGCCATACGAGGGCATAAAGTAGTGTTCTCTGACAACAATACACTCAACAATCCCCAAATTAGAACACGGTTGAACAGTGAAGAGATTATATTTCAAATAGCAAGGTTAAATAGGAAGTAAGAAGCCGAAGTGAAGGCGAAATACGAACAACGTTAGTATTTTTATAGTTTTTACATGAGAAGCTTCTAGAATGCACTCCAAGTATCAACTAGCGCTGATTGGATAAGATTTAGCCAATCAGCGTGCAGCTAATGCAGTCGTGCTTTAATCCATGTCCCGCCATTGCAAACGGTTCTGAGCCATGTCGTTCAAGGTCTCTAACCATCGGTGACTTTCGTCTCGCCGACCTCAACCAGATAGCCTACATCTACCAACATGACTCAGTCCACTTGTCAGTGACTTCATGGATTTGTGCCGTGTTTTGGTTTGGCCACCACGATTGATAACAAAACCACTGTTAAACTTCCTTTGGGTCTCCAGTTAACAGAGAAAACTATTCTCTATACGTGTATTCGTGTAAATAGTATTAATTGGACTAAACCTCATGATCAATCGGTAAGTGGTTAAATCACTAGGTCAAACATAGTTTCTGTATATATTATGTACTGAAATATCATTAATCATATTTAGACAGACTTATATATCACGCTTCAATTACAGGCAATCGTAATTCATCTTATTTATTTTAGCCAATGAACCAGATGAGGAAAGTAAGTTCTTCTGTTTGTGAATGTTCTATTTTGTATTCATGATTTTCATGGATATCACAGTGAATACCATGCATTTGTATTAGTTTAGAGTGAATATCAACAACTAATTGTAAAATTCAGTCTCACTTCGTCCTCATATCTTTCTTTTTTATCGCTAATGCATTTGCATAACACTTGCTGTTGTATCCTTAACTCTTGACTAAACACTAATCAGAACACGATTACATACTAATGACTTTAGTCAGTCAGTTGTTAAGTTCCAATCGGTTCAAAATTATTAATCTTTCATTGATAGATTATCACAAGTTGAATAAGATTTGATTATTTTACAGATAAACTTACATTCTAACAAATAGGGACTAATGAATTCAATTATTTGATTGTGTTGTTTTAATGTTTTTTTTTTAAATTTGTTTTGTCGAATATTCAGTTTCAGACTCTACAACAGTTAGTAGTACTTGTAAGTTTATGTTATTTACTAAAAATAAATTTGTTGCTTATACTCACTGATGATTATTGGCTTTGAAATGATTTCTTTAAGTCATAGTCAAATGGTGTATTGCTGATAGTGTTCAATCGTGTACAAAGAGTGAGGCAATTACGCAATGATAGTTTTTATCGAGTACTTTTCAATATTCTATGTCAATGGAAGTTTAAAATGTGAAACATTGAATTTTAGTTCATTATTGCTTACTGACTTACTTACTGAATAACGTCTATTAGCTCTTGTGGGGTATAGGCTGTTGACGAGGTATCTGCAACCAACTCTATCCTTGGTCACTTTTGCAAGTTTTTGCCAAGAGGTATTTATGCGCTTGATGTCTGCCTTCGATTTCCAGACCAAGTTTTGCTCTGGTTGTTAGAGGATACATCAGGCTATTGACTTCTGAAGAACTGTTGCTATCATTATTACGTGATATATCTCATTGAAATAAAAACTCTCCAATCCTCAAGGCAGATGAAACAGATATTTACTGATCAGCGTTTTTCTAGAAAGGATGGGGACGCTACCATCAAAACAATGCTTACTCATTTATTTTAGAGTTCTGGAGATTGTTGGGTTTCATAGAGTTCAAGAATCACTCATTGTTTGACTACAATTAGAAGCCTAGGAACACTAGACGGTCGTTTTGTCGTAGTATGGGACTCATTAGCCATCAGAGTCCATGACCTACGCACGACAGAATCTAACCATGGACCTTCGGTCTCACGCGCGAACACTTAACCTCGATATCACTGAGATGGCATCCAACAGTTGTTAATGTTTAACTCCTTTTTATCCAACCTTTAGACCTACAGTAACTCTAGAAGTGCTCCAAACGGAGTTAGTTCTTTCGTTTATAGGTAACACAATTACAGTAAAATATATATGTTATGTACTTATCCTTTATCATGCTTATGAATGAGTTTCGTAAAACATTGGAAAAGGTTTTTTTCCAGGACCAAAAGCTAGTGTTAATTTGAGCTGAAAATTATTACTTCATCAGCTCGTGACATTAGCTGTTTTGTCTCAAACATTTTCTAAATTATTATAATCGAGTCGTTCAAATTAAATTAAAAATCTTACAGAAGATAACATTTTACTTCAATAAAAATATTTGGACACAAAATAATCGAACAACCTACAATGTGAATTCATTTTAATTATATTACTATATAATTTTATTAGTAGTTTAGTTTGTCTCATCAATTATTCAATCTCTTTTTTTTAACCCTGTAGATACCTCAACTCCTAGTCAGTCAAGTAAGTTCTATCATTGTGAATTACTTTTTATTTTTAATTTTAAATTGTCATTATTTTTTTTTAAAATCATCGTCTAATGATTCAATGAACAAAAATGGTTGACTCATAAGTTTTACTTTTTGCTGGTGTGTTTGGTCACATTTATTGTCTTACAAATCAAACGATTTTGATTGGATATTTCATTCAAAAATGCCAGTCTTCATTCTCATTTTTTTTCTGTCTCTCATTTGATTGGTCCGTTTTACTGGATCTTTCTAGAAATAGCACGGTGAATGCATTATGAATCCAACTTTTTTAATCATTATTATGCTGATTTTGGTTAAATTAATTGCGTCATGAAAACATGACTCATTAAAATATTAAATCCTTAGTTGGGATTCTTCTTGTTTGACTTGACTTCTTGTTTTATTGACTACAATCAAAATCGTTTTATCTTGCACATGATTCAAAGTCAAGATTATTTTAATTCATACAACATTTTGAATCTATTACATATTGATATTTATTCTATAAATCTTTTCAGTGATAATTTATGGTAACGCTCTGATTTCTCTCTATATTAGACACATATTCAGTACGATTTGATGAGATTCTTATTAGGATATGTAATTTAGCCTCATTACAATGTGTACATATTTGTCGACAGTTAGCAGATAACTTATATGAATACTAATGGTGGGAAATATATGTGTCGACTTAAGTACCTGTCAGACTGTCCATCATTAAAGATAAGTAGTAGCTAGCAAGGGAATTGAAGAAACGCATTTCGTCTCATTGCACAAGTGAGTATAGCTATCGAGATTCAATAGCTAAGTGGATAGAGCAGTGGAGTTTGAAGCGTAAGATGCTGGGTTCGAGTCCTGGAGTGAACATCAACTCGCACACGCAGGTATATCCAGCTACAAACATGTCCCAAATAGATTCGACTGATAGCTATCATCAGTCTTTTCTTATAATACTTGTAATCAAAAGGCGACATACCATAGAGATTGATCAAAATTGCAGTCCTGAAGATCAATGGAAAGATTCAAATAGTCAATACAAATGAATGATCTACCAGTAGTCTGTTTAGGTGCATGATCAATCACAATTTTCCTTCGCTTACACATCATAAAATTCTATGTTTGGAAATAAAACTTTTCTATCACTCTGATCAACTATAAACTATATCAATGTTCAATTGGTATTGTTGGTTTCTTTCTATTGTACACCATGTTAACTTTTTTAAAATTCAACTTAAAGAATGATACACACTTAGTGTATGTACAATATTTTAAGTGAATTGGTTCTTTGATTTTTTCTAAAGAAAAAAAATGACAATAACAATACTGATGTATTTCAAAATTTAATTTAAATACGTTATCAAGTATAATACATTTTAAACATTCATTCCATTCACAGGTACTCCCGCAAATGATGGTATGTTTTGTTTGAATAAACTATAAGTTGTATTTTCTTTGGATAATTTTATATGTGAAAATTAGAATTCATATACAGAGTTTGTAATAACAAACAATTTCCAACAATTACTTATATGATGAGGTTGTGAAACAGTTGTCTAATTTGGATTTCAACCTTCGATCTTGCTCACGAACGCTTAACCTCCAGTGCTACCAAGTCTAACAATGATCGATTCATTGATGATTTCAATGTTTAAAATCAATCATCTCCATAACTCTAGTTATTGAATAATTAATTATACAATCAGACTATATACAACAATAATCCATAAACTGAGTTCTTAAGTTACTAATTACTTTAGTTTGAATCCAGATTCTCAGTACTACGAAGCGATAATATCAAACAGCTGATAGATTTTATATTCTTGTCAGTAACCTAGTTCATTGTAAAACCATTGTAAGTTTAGCATGCTATAATATAAATGATAAAATGATTCATAATGAAACTAACAATCGCATTAACTATGTCTATAAAGTTAAAACTTCATGAAGTAATATACATTACTGTTATGCTTGTCAGTTGATATTACGAGTTCACCTTACTCGGTAAACGAGTGAGAAGACAAATGATCCAGTGACACGGTAGGCCATTTTAATCCGAGCATCATTAGGCCCCACTAAGTAGAGGAAGAAGTCTTGACAAGACGTAGAAAGTGTATTCGACAAGCACCAGTAAAATATGAGGTTTTTCAAGCACACAAATCGAGTTTATTTATACATGATAGGAACGTCCTTGAGAGAGCTACAAAAATAGAGTACTAAAATAATGCATCAACCAATAAGAGTCAAGGATTTCCCGGATGGGAAATGTAGTCTCAGAGTCAACTGATCATCCCATGTGCGAAAGCATAAAATCCAAAATTAGGACCCTTATCAAGTGAGATCTAAAGCCCCCAACAATTACCTGTTTTCATATTCTAAAAATACCTAACCGGATTGCCTTCCTGTGTGTTTTATCATAAAAAACGAAATAAATGAATTATGTCTACCTGTAGCTTGTTCTGCTAACCTCGATCTTGATTGGTTGCTGTTGACCTTAAACCTCTCGTTGTTTGCACCTATGTTGACTTTTTAAAAATGGTGTTATTTTTTACAATGAGCTGAAATCAATTGTAGCAGCACTAAAAATTATGATGTACTGAACATATTTTTCGTTTTTGACCACAGTCACTGAGCTGAAATCGAATTTATTAGATTTGAAACTTTAAGTTATCTCTTAGGTGCTGGACTGTGAGTTAAATGACTCTATGGACTAGCGATGTAGCCATATTACTGAATTAAATGGAGCAAGGTTTGAATCTGAAACCCATTAGTTGGGGATTTTATCGCTTTCAGTTTCTTTTTACCGTTATACATAAACCAAGTATAAGTTTGTTCACTCATCCATGAACTACACAGTTGATGAAAAACAAAAAGACATGGAAATAGACTTAACAAAGTTCGAGCCTGTGAATAAAAGATTGAAAATTCGAGTTCACCAACCAGGAAGTAGCTACCAGTTATTAATTTAAAAGTAGGAAAAAATTATTCTGAAGTATTTAACATTGCTTTAAATATATATGCTACAATAACATCATCATTTGATATTGAAAAGTTTTTTTTCGAAAAATTTTATTAGTTTTCTTTGTATTTTTCTCTCTATTTCGATTCTACTCGCAGCGACAAATTCAAAATTTATACGAACATTCCATTTGATAGTTGGGTTGGTCAGTTTGATGGCAATCAAATAAACGAGCACAGGTTACCACCTGTTCTCTACAATAAATGTATGATTGTTTCTATTTTTGTGTTTAAATTGAACAGGATTTTGCATTTATAGTGTAGTGTTACTTTGTTGGGGAAAAAATGCAATTTTGTGTGTGTAGCTACTGATAACTATGTTATCAGTAGTCAGTAGAAATCTCTATTCTATTTTATAAGTTATCAACCAAGTTTACATATGTATAAGTCAGTTTAAGTTGTAGAACTTACACTAGCTTAGTAAGTGCCAAAATTGTCATTATGTGAAGTATAACTATCAAGATGAAGGTGAAGCACTGAATATGAAACTTAAAAATTTATTACTGAATTTCAAATGATTTTCTAAGTGAAAACTGTTCCAAATTCTCAGTCTAAAACAAAATAACTGATTAATTCTTGTTAGTTCTTAATGATATTTAAACTAATGTGAATTCACCATGAATAGTACTAACAAACTTTGTAATTTCATTGAAATTATGAATCCATCCATGTTAGACCACCATTGAAAACCTGGGAGCACTGGATGGCCGACTCTTCATGATATGCTTGAATGCGATTACGAGTTCACCTTACTTGGTAAATGGAACGAAGATGAACCATACAGTGGCATTATAGGCTATTCTAATCCGTTTGTCCTAGGCTCTGCCTCCTAGATCAAGAAGTCTTGATAAGGCACAGAGTATGTGTTCTACAAGCACCCAGAAAATACGAGGTTGCAAAGCACTCAACTAAAGCTACTTTATACAATGATAGAAATGCTCTTGGGAGAGTCATAAATTAGTGTACAAAAATAATCCATCATCCAATGACAGTCAAGGGAAATGTAAGCTGAAGTTCAACTGGCGCGAAAACATGGAAATTCAAAATTTCAGAAATAAATGACAAAATTAGGACATTTTCCAAGTGAATTTAGGGGATGTAACGTCTGAAAACTCTTCAGCAGTGAGTATCCACGAGCTCCGCTCGCAGTAATCGAACCTAGGACCACTGGGCCGGCGTCAAACATTGTTAATGTCTAACTCCGCTCATTCCAAAGTCTTGTGCTTCCTCATTCATTGTCTTCCGTGAACACTGACTCACATACAATAGTGTCGAACTCCACTGGTCATGATTTCTAACCATGTTATAATTGTTGGCCTAACATTGATCGATTTTTACGATTCCAATCAAATTCAACAATCTCGAAAATTCTATAGTGAACACTTTATAACTGTCAAGTCAAACTACCATCAATAAGTAGGCTAAAAGAATGTTACTCATATTATTCATCAACAGTTTAAAACAACTATATAAGTTCAGATATATTCATTGAAATATTAGTAGTATGTTTGAAAGTCAATCATTCTCTAAGTCAGTATGATGCGCAATAACAGTAAAATATTCTAATATTCTAATCAAGCCAAAAGCCTTAAATTTAGATTTTCAAACTTACCTTAAAATCTTTTCTTCCTGTCTCAGTTATTAATCATTGAAATACTTTTGCATACATTTGAAAAGGAACATCGATTTTTTAAGGCAGTTGATTACTATAAGTAAGTACATTTTAGAATCCTTGAATAATCAAAAACGATATGAATTATCCCATTTGTTGATATTCATAAATAGATTAGCATATATGTCTCCAAAGAGAATTGCCGTAAGTTTTTAAGACAGACTGAATGTGAGTAGTATACGAAATATTTCATTCACTAAGGAAGGTAATGACTATTTGGACTCATTAGCACAGAGCATAACACATTATCGTTTGTGAAGCAAAAAAGTGACATGGCTCGAGTCTCAATGTCTACATGTATACTGCAGTGAAGATAAGTTCAGTTCAGAAGGTTTAAGTAGAATAAAACGTGCTACTTAGATATAGATTGGATTAAAGCATGATTGCGTTATTGCACGCCGATTGGCTCTTTTGTATCCAATCAGCGCTAGCCGATACTGAGGGAACATTCTAGAATCTTCTCATGTAACAAAACTATAAATACACTAACATCTTTTTTAATTTGAACCTTCTGACTTCCGTCTAACCTTCTTATTGGAATATTATCTATTTTCTGTTCAACTGTGTTCTGATTTTGGGAGAACGTCTCGAGTAAAATTGGTGTCCGACAATACTAAGCATTAGGGAATAGATGGGTTGTAAAAAGAAAGAGAGAATTATAACAGATTCCAACAATCATCCTTCAATCTTGAAAAAAAACTATCTTTAAGTTCTAATTCAACTTTGAATTGTACTATCATGAATTGCTTGTCGATAATTTTTATGAAATAACTTGATTTCTTGTTAATTTTTGAATTTATAGATTGAAAGTCATTGAATTCATTGATTCCATGTTCTAATAAACGAGACTATTTGGTTTTAAAAAACTATTTTTTTTCGAATGAAATATTCTTTTAAATTTCTTAAAAAAAGTTTGATTAAATGAACATTGTACATTGATAAGTCAGTATATAATTTGTTTTCAAACTTAATTGTGTATATTCAATATTCAATATTTTAATGGAAATATATTGTGAAACTTGATAAAAACAAAAGAAAATGTTATAATTGTGAGTATTTTGTCAATGTTTGCCATGATTTAAGTCAGTCATCTTTTCAAATACCACTATATTATCGATGGTCAGTTTGTGATAAGTAACTTAGAAACTGGCATATTTATGTATCGATTCAAATTGTCGGTAAAAAAAAATTACGCGTAGACAAGATGATCTCAAAAGAACCAATAAAATCGTCAAATCAGAATTGTATAAGATAATTTTAAATCTCAGGTCGTAGGGGAAGAAAGGTAGTGAATGGTTCGGCGCCATTGAGACGTATAGGCAACTTTAATCAAGGTGTCAGCTATGTAGTTTACATTTGCCTACACAAATTAGACAACAGTCAGTGAGTTTTTCTGAGACTAGATCTGTAATTTATTTTGCTGTTGATACTACTTTACTTACTTACTTACTTACTTTCGCCTGTTACCCCCAATGGAACATAGGCCTCCCACCAATTTTCGCCAACCAACTCTGTCCTGGGCTTCCCTTTTCAGTTCTGTCCAGTGTCTGTTCATTCCTCTCATATCTTTCTCTATTTCTCGGCGTAATGTGTTCCTTGGCCTTCCTCTTTTCCTTTTGCCTTGAGAGTTCCATGTGAGGGCTTGTCTCGTGACGCAGTTAGGTGCTTTTCGTGGTGTGTGTCCTATCCACTTCCACCGCTTCTTCCTGAGTTCCTCCTCCACTGGAATCTGGTTTGTTCTCTCCCACAGTAGGTTGTTGCTGATCGTGTCTGGCCAACGAATACGAAGTATTTTGCGTAGGCAGCTGTTAATAAACACTTGTATCTTCTGGATGATGCCTTTCGTAGTTCTCCAGGTTTCCGCTCTATACAGTAGAACTGTCTTGACATTTGTATTGAAAATCCTGATTTCGGTTGAAAGTTGTTTGGAGTTCCAGATATTTTTCAACTGTAGAAATGCAGCCCTTACTTTGCCAATCCACGCCCTCGCAATTGCATCGGATCCACCTTGGTTTTCGATGATGCTGCCCAGATATGTAAAGGTGTTAACGTCCTCCAAGGCATCTCCATCAAGAGTGATTTGGTTGGTGCATGTTGTGTTGCATCGGAGAATTTTGCTTTTTCCTTTATGTATGTTGAAACCTACTGCTGTAGAGGTTGGACGTGGGGTTGGCGACCCAATCCCGTAGAAAAATAATTAAAACCAAGATTGTTTAAGACTAATTCGTGATCTAAACTATCAAAGTTGAACAATCTCGAATATTTTTCATTAGTGCTAGGTGAGAAAGTATAAAAACCTGAATAGATATTCTTCAATGAAATGTTTAGAGCATGTTTAATGAGTGACTTGGTAATATTTTCACATTATCTCTATTTATGCTGTTTGCTAACTAACAATATATCTGCTAGTCATCTTTGCATTAAAAAATTATCATAGCGATTGTATTACCACTACACAAGAGAATCGTATCGTGTATGCGTACTTTTTATGAGTCCTATACTAGGAGAAAACGAACATCCAATACTTACAGGCTTCTAATGGAGGTCTAGTTTAGATCAGTTCGTAATTTTAACTGTGAAAAAATGTCTTAGTTACCTTCTAATCTCTAGAATGTTTATAATTTGCCATCTTGAACTTTACACACATATATCTGAACAAATAAAGATATTCGTAAGCCTTACTTATTAAGCTTTCGGCTGTTTTGATTAAAAATGTAAAATAATGATCACGTCGCGGAATCAGTGAACTCATTTTTAACAGTGTCGGAGAAACTAAACAACGGTTAGGTGTGAAAAGTATGTAATAGCTCATTGATTTAAATTTTAAAAGAATTATTTTATGTAAAATAAGATTTACAGTTATGTTGATGAGCAATAAATACTACTAAAAATTAACAATAATCATAAGTTTTTGTAGAAAAACCGAATGATCATATAAATTGAAATATTGCTACTAAATGCAATGATTAGCTTTCACAAAATATTTTAGAAATTTGAATATTACTTTGAAATCATAAAAATCGATCACTGTTAGACTACCAGCAAAAACCTGGAAGCATTCATTGGACGGCCATTTCGTCCTGATATGGGACTACTCATCAGCAGTGTGCATACATGAATTCCACTTCTCGAAGGTGATTGTTGAGTTACTTCGAAATCACGAGTCGATCAATGTTAGACTAACAAAAACAAAGGACTTGCGTTCAGATGAAGTACTGGAGTACTGAAACTCAAGATCTAGAAAACGATAGAGTGGATGCATCTGAGTAATGATGACCGATTCTCAGAAATGGCAGTAATTGTCTCAAACCACTTTAGGAAGTGATCATACAGATGCAGGCTAGGTAATTCACATGCTTCAAAGAAGGTTCGGACTAAATTCACGGTATTGAGCGGTAATATATGGTGCTCATTATTAAATTTAACATGACTGGTTTTATTGCGTGAATCAATAACGTCAACTAGCTAACAAAACTTCGTTTCACTACTAATACAGGAAAACAAAATGTCAGAAAACTTAGTATTTAAAGTTGAACAAAACAGAATGGTGCAACTCCGCATGCATAGTCACGAAAACATAATCTTTAAGAATAAAAATTTCACAGAATAATATCAATAGCAACCAATCAGGAAAAGAAAAAGGCTATACATGAAGGAAATTGGATTTGAAAACACCAACCACTGGTGCTTATCGTTTTCAGAATGATTTAAGCATTGTTTACGGACAGATATTTTGGTCACTTAGCAGCTTACTTCCAATCCAATTCAACTTCAGCTAAAATCGACTATCAAAGTAAGCAGTGGTTGAAGATACGTAGCGCATGTCACAACTACCTCAATTCATGAGGATTCAAAACCGCAGCAATTGATTCACCATCTTTACTTAGCAATCAATGCCTTAAATCATTAGTGTTAATTCAATGGGTCGTCTTATCATTAGTGTTAATTCAATGGGTCGTCTTATGAAGCACGAACAAACATTCGAAGATATCTTTTTTCAAAAGCATGCAATCCATACATCTTATATTCTTATACACAGTGATAATCAGTCAAATATAGACTATCAGATATTTTTGAAATTATGAACCGATCATTTTAAGACCACAATTAGAAGCATAGAAGCACTGGATGGGCCGTCAAGTCCTAGTATGGGACTCATCAGCTTTGAGTATCTACGACTTCCGCTCGCGGGAATCTGAAAATGATAGATTCATAATTCCAACGGAACTAAATAATGAAAAATCATAAAATATGTTCACTAGTGACTAGCTTTGTAAGGAAATTCTCGGAGTTCTAGTGAGAAACCGTGACCAGTCGAGTACAACCCTGTCGGGTGTAGGCAGTAACTACCGAAGATAATGAATGAGGTTGCACAATATCAGGGATTGGTTTAAGTTAGACTTCAACACCACTGGATGCTAGCTCAGTAGTCTAGTGGTTAAACGTTTGCGCGCAACACCAAAGACCTTGGGTTCGATTCTCGCCAGTAGCGGTCATAGGCGCCATAACATACTGGGACGAAACGGCCTTCCAATGGTTTCTAACGGTCTTCTAACAATGGTCAATCCATAATTTCAACGAAACTCAATAATTTCCACAACTGTATAATGTTAAATATCAGCTATCATCTGTTGTAACCTGAGATAAGTGTAGAAACAAATGCCATACACATATTCTCTATATTCACACTTAAAAATGTAAAAAACATCTTCATCTGGCATTTGAATACAACAAATAATCAGACAGACACATACAACGCACAACTACGTACGTACGTACATCAGTTCAGGTCAGTCGGTCAGATGCAACGTAGAACTTCGTACGTAAGTACATCAGTTGATGTTGCCATACCACATCAGCACAGAGATATAATTGTCAATTCAAATCCAATAGTAGTAGAGGTAGTAAGGGAATTAGAAGTAATCGGAGAGGTTAGGGTTGGAAGATACTATTCAAGAAGTATGATTCAGTGAGAAAAGTTTAGAGAGTCGAAACTAGAGGTGTTGAAGAATCCAGAAGATTAGGATTTGAGAGAACACAAAGAATAAGTGCACCGGCGACATTGCAATCGGTTTTGAGCCATGTCATTCAAGGTCTCTAACCATCGATTATTATCATCTCGCGGACCCCAACCAGGTAGTCGACAATTACCGACATGGCTAAGTCCACTCGTCAATGACTTCATGGATTTGTGCCATGTTTTGGTCTGGCCGCCCCTAACTTTCTTCCAACCTACTCCTACACTACAAAACAAAGTTCTTCGAGGCAGTCGGTGGTTAGGCATACGTAACACATGTCCCAACCACCTCAACTGATGAAGTTTCACCACTTCATCTATTGATCTGCCATCCTTACCTAGTACTCGTTTCCTAGCGACAGCATTGCTTACTCGGTTGTCCCACGGTATACTAGCAATGCTTCGAAGACACCTATGATCGAAAACCAGTAACCTACGAATATCTTCTACTCTCACTGGCCATGTTTCACAGCCATATAGGAGAACGGAGCGAACTGCTGCACAGTACACTCGTCCTTTGATTAGAGAACGGATATCACGCCTACGCCATAAGTGACGCAGGTTGGCAAAAGCCAATCGAGCTTTCTGTATCCGAGCTGAGATTTCGTCAGTCACTAGGCCATCAGCGCTGATGAGACTCCCAAGATAAGTGAAGCGGTCTACACGCTCGACTACTTCACTCCCTATCACTAGTTCGGGTGCCGATGCAACCCAGTCTTGAAGCAACATTTTACATTTCGAGGGGGAAAACCGCATCCCGAACATGCTTGCATTGTTGCTTATGGTAGTCAGAAGACTCTGCATTTTGTCAGAGTCTTCACCAAGTAGGACTATGTCATCGGCATATTCTAAGTCAACTAGCGAGCCTCCTGGCAAAAGGTCTACTCCTGAAAATTCAGACGAAGATAGGGTTATTTCTAAGAGCATGTCTATGATAAAATTAAACAAAAATGGAGAAAGTGGACATCCCCGACGGACACCACTTGATGTAGAGAATTCCGGTGACAGTTCGCTATAAGCCCTCACTCGACCAGGTTGCCATACCGCATTAGCACAGAGACGCGGTGTGATAAAGGAATGTGAGAAGAGTTAGTCGTGGAGATAAGAGAAAGATTAGGGGGTGTGGGAAGGATTTGATTGTGACCAATTTAGTCTCGTGGGCTGTTACGGATAGGAGGGCGGTTGTCAATTCCTGGCTGCCCACACTGTGAAAGATAGATTTATTGACATATAAAATTCCATATATTCATTTAACTACCATTTAAACACACAATCACAAACCAGTAAACCAACATGATTTATTTTATAACTGACAAAAAATGACAATAATTTATAAGATAATTGAAATGCGTTGTTTACTCTTTCTTATAAAGACAAGGGAAAAGATAAACAAACAAACACTTCAAAGCAGAATTGAAATAGGCAAGTGAAATACAAAAATGAATGGCTGCTGCAAAAAATAGTTAGATAAACAGACAATTATATAATAACAATAATATTAATAATAATATTTACACAAAAACGAATCAGTGTTCTCTATTTTACTAGCTCTCTCTTTCTCTTAAAAAAAAGTTCAAAAAATTCAATATTTTCACGAGTACTACTTACTACTAGTAGTAGTAAGTAGTACATTTCGCAATTCATCCATCGATTGTGAAATAGCTACCTGTTGTTTATTTTGGATAATATGTTTTATAAAATCTATCAGCAAGTATTGATGCACGTTTTGTATGACCAAGTTTATTTTCAATTGCCCATTCTTTAAGTTTTGTTTCATATTCATGTTTTAAATCTTTGGCTATATTATTATATTCCTAAAATACAAAGAAACAAAAATTCAGATTTATGAAATAAATATGAAAGGTTAAAAAAAACACAAATTGAAATGAAGCACATATATGGATGGATACGATCGATAGATGGAGTGTAGAGACATGTTCTGAAACTCACCACAACCGAATGCATTTGCATTCAATGTTTTGAATGCAAAATAGTAGTTACATTTTCGATCTATTCTATACGAATAGATCCAACAAGCCATATAACAGTCAGTCATCCAGTCAGTTACAACGAAGAACTTCGTACATACGTACATAAGTTCAGGTTATCATACCATATTAGCATAGAGATGCAACTGTCAGTTCAAATAACATAGTGGTAGAGATAGTAGGAGTATCTACAATAATCGGAGAGAGTAAGGTTTGAAGAAATTATTCAAGTATAATTCAGTCAAATAATAAAGATAGACGTGATCAGGAATTCAGAAGATTAGAATTTGAGCGAGTACAAAAAGTGGATGTGTCTGTGACATTGCATTTGAGACATGTCATTCAAGGTCTCTAATCACCGGTACAATCTGTTCTCTGAGCCGCGACACCATAGGATCCACCCACGTATCTTTCATATTCGCTGAGTCTACGTACTTGAGCATTAAAGTTGCCAGCCATTATTAATATATAAGAGCGCCTAAACTTTTGGAGGAAGTCCGAAGGCTTCCTGTAGAACTCATCTTTCACTTCGTCTGAACTGCAGTCAGTGGGAGCGTGGGGAGATACGACGAAGAAGCAACGGCGTGTCCCTATCCTTCTCGGTCCGTACCGTCCCGTTTAGTCAAACAGCGCATAAGCGACTGTCTATCGGGATCCAGTCTAAGAGAGCTAGTTCTGCCCTAGGACTTATGACTATACCTACGGCAGCGAGGCCATGGGAGGCAGCATCAGGAATACCTGAAACACAAAGTCTCCTCATTAACGACACAAATCTGCACAAATATACAAAGCTTTAGAGTCAAAGTCTGCTTGGACTCATCGATCTATGCTTAACAACGTATTTTCAGTTCATCAACAGAGTCTACGAACAAACCAAAGGAACACTAATGGGATAACCAATATTAGGACTCATCGCGGAAGCGGTAATGCAGACTAGAAGCGTCGATTTTACCAGTGATTAAGCCAAAAATGTGGGTTCGCTATGTAGACGAAAAATGCGTCATCATCAGAAGGAACGAGCTGGAGAACATCTACAATCAGATAAACAAAGTCTTCGATGACATTAAATTCACGATGGAAAAGGAATCAAACAACAGTCTATCATTCCTGGATGTACTAATCACCAGAACTAACGAAGGAAAACTGGAAACTCAAGTATTTCGGAAGCCAACACACACGGACGTAATTCTCAACTACGATAGCAACAACCCAAGAACCCACAAAATCAACTGCATACAAATTTTGTTCAAGAGAGCGAAGACACACTGCAGCACATACGAAGCACTAAAAAACGTGGAAAAACACCTTGTGACTATCTCCTAAAAGAACGGCTATCCACGTAACTTCATCAAAAAACATCAAACGAAATCATCAACAGAAGCGAAATGAAGCACAGGAACCGATAAACGGACCATTCTACCATACATAAAAGACATATCGGATCATACAGCACGACTACTGAAACCATTTGGAATAGGTGTAGCACAGAAACCAACAGAATCACTTCAATCAATCCTATGTAGACCAAAGGACAAAATGAAAAAATGAAGAAAAACCAAATATCATCTACAAAACAAATTGCTCAAACTGTGAAAAACACTACATAGGACATAGTGGACGGCCTCTTCAGCTTCGTTTACGTGAACATCAATTAGCAGTCAAACGCCACGACAACGCTTCGCTTATATCAATACACACAGACAATTATGAACACACATTCGATTGGAACAATGTGGAAATACTGGGTAGGGGGAGGACAAAGTACACTAGAGAATTTTTAGAAGCTTGGCACTCAGGTCAATCAGCAGTTAACAAACACATTAAAATTGACCCAATTTATCAACCAGTCAGGAAAATCATAGGTGACATAGGATCAAGAAACAGATCAAAAGGGGGATGCAATCAAAACAAAGATGCAAACAACGACAGGTTTAAGGTCAACAGCAACCACCACCACAGGATTTGATTGTGACCAATTTGGTCTCGTACATTTTTATGGGTGTGAGGGTGGATGTAACTTCCCAGCTGCCCACACTGTAGAGGCTAGTCACCGGTTAATACCGTCTCGTGGACCCAGACTAACCAGGTGTAGATTACCAGCCAAGATTAGTCGAAATCCAGTCGATAATATCAACAGTAGGATAATTTTGGACTAAAACAAACATGTTATCGATCTCACATACAAGACGTAAGTATGATAAATATCATTCTCATTGGAATGTTTGTTTGACTAAACAGACGAGTGTATGTAATAAGTTTATCAGAGTAGATTACCGAAATTCAAAGTTTTATCAAACTTCAGAAGGTTTAGTGGTTGATGAAACAAGATAAGGATTCGAAAAATTCGTTGGATTTTTATTAACCCAAGATATTTCTGACGTAGAAGAGATGTCTATTTGACAATGAAGAGATGACCATACTGGGCAGTAGTTAGCTTTGTGTTACTTTAAGGTCGCAAAATGTGGACTATGACAATGAAGGACATTAATATAGATCGACAGTGTTTGATTATAGGAGTCTTTGAAGCATTATTTGTGTACCACAGAACGATCAGCTGATAAATAATGCGGTGAGGCGCAAAGTACTCGACATATATGCCAAATCAGTCAATAAGGTTGTGAATTATCACTAAGATGATTGTGACATGTATTGTGTATGCTCCAAGTCAGCCTACATCGATGGGAGATGTTAGCTAGATTAGGGAGTGTATTAGGAAGTAAACTACAGAATGAATTCGTTAAAAAAAGAACTTGTTAATGAATCAATCTGTTTTTTTATACATATCAATGAGTACATTCTGTTTAATTAAGATTATGGAGTTCTATTTCACTCTAGAAATCTTTTTAGGCTAAACAGCGAAAAACTGTTATATCTATTATATGTATACATGTATGTATATATATCTACTATACACGACCGTAGTTACTAACATGACACTCGGTGGCCGAGCTTGCCTATCGTGATGACCCAATCGAGCTATATTGGCTGGAACATATGTTCCTGAAGGTTCTACCATGCCACGCAGGTCCATCGGAGAACGATCAGACTAAAAGCCGCTACTCTAGGCCCCAGGGCGAAGTTGTACTGCTGACTGTAAAGGGGTGTGACAGCATAGTAAGGTGTTTTCCCTAGGAGAATCAGAATCTACAGCGATGCTGCCTTCTCACAAAGAAGGAAGGGGTTAGAAAAGGTCGACCCTAAAAATGTCACACCTCACCTTACCTCACGGATTTCCATCTCCGGTGGTAAGGCCTTTTAAAAAAGAGGCGAGCTAATACTTTAAAAACTTCTCATAAAAAGGCCATGAGTGACCGGCTTCAAGGAGTTGTTTCTTGGGCTCTGAGGACATGCTCCTAGGTCATTAAGACCAACAATAATCTACCTTCCTTTTCAAGTTCCTCCAGAAACAACACTACTCCACGGTGTGGGCAGCGGGGAAGTGACATTTTTGCCCTCATATCCATAACAGCACACTATTATATGCATGGTGTACTTGGTTGATCAACTTACAATCTGTTTAGATTGAGGTAATGATGACCATTGTTTTACAGTATCCTTAAATTCATTTTGCATTTGAGATATTGGTGTACCCTGTTAAAAAAAAATTAACAATAAAATGATTACTTACAACTGATGAATCATTGTTTACACAAACATACATACATACATATGACACTGATTAAAATGTTAACAATTACAAAGATTTTCAAAAGTAAAGTAGTTTTGTGTAATGGAAGAACCATTCTGGTAAGTGATAATCACAAGAATTCTGTCTGGTAAAACACGTATTTATGTTGTGAATCAATTAAGAAAGAAGCGTCTTAATCATTATTAGTGGAGATTATTTGAACAGTGATATTACTCAAGTGTTCACATGACTATGAAATAAGTCACAGAGGAATCGCCCTGTACATGATGTATTCACACAGACATAACACACATTAGTGATAACTACATCTTACTTTCTAGTGTAAACCACCGTGTATTTGGTAAACGAACAGCTGATTGATTAGAAATTACACCAATATGAGTGTGTATTGACAGGGTTGTGTATTTATGAAGTCTGTTCCGTGGAACTTTTAATTAGCCTACTGTAAATCCGTTAGATAGAGTCTGTTTAGAAAGAACAACTAGCCACTAAACCAGAAGTTTAAAAACTCCAACCAACAATATTCAGGAAACAAAAAAGTACTAGACAGAATACTTTGATCTAAAAATTTGCAAGTATATACAGACAATAGACAATGACAACAATCATAGTTGACAATGAATTGATAAAATTCGCTGCCTCCTTTTAAAACACTTACTACAATGACGCAACTATTCACCTACATGTACATTCGAGTGGGAGGTAGGGAGCTAAGAAGTCTTCCTGAGATTTGAGCATCAGCAGACCAAATGTCCATTCCATTGTTGAACGAACATTATCCTGATCTTATCTGATGAGGTAATTAATCTGCCACTCTATATCCATAAGGTGAGGTCAAGTGAATGACCATACTTGTATCATACACACGCAAGATTACAAACTACTGGCTAGAGAAGCCTTGTGAAATTCTTGTCTTATAACTAGATTACTCATTAGTAACCAGGATCACCCTTTCCCTGTATCTCATAAGCTGAATCATTGGTGGAATCATTAGCATTAGCGGCGGGAAGCAATAATGATATACAAAGAGAGTCAGTCGTCAGGTGAAACAGGGATTTGCTCGTGAACAAAATGATCGGTTATGGTGTTATAGGTAAGAGTGCGGTTCTCACTTCTTGACTGTCTACATAGAGGAAAAATATTTCTTTCCAGTGACCCGGGAGTGTGACCACAGAGCCCACGAGGCAAATGCTTAAGGTCGGTCACGTACAGCCTGTTTGTAGGGAGCGCTTGATGCATTAGTTTCGCACTTCAAAATGTCTTATCGTCGGAGTTTCCCGAGGAAGATACCTTACTTCTGTCACACCTCTTTAAAGTCAGCAGTACGACTTTGCCCTCGGACCCTAAGTTGCAGCCTTTAATCTCACTGTACTCCAACTAACCTGTCTGGAATAGTAGAGCCTAGAGAGACACGTATTCCAACCAGTTTAGATCAGTTGAATAATCACGGTAGGAAAGTCTCACCACCACTTCAAGGTAGCAGTTACAGTCGCGACCTAGGGAAGAAGATTTAATAGAGAACATTTGTAGTTCGCTTGTCTCAGGATGGGATGACCAAACAGAATAAACTGAAACCACACAGTATTAGTAATTTCAATAGGCTAAAAAACGCGATGACTATTGAGGCTATCACTGAAAGCAAGTAAGATAATGATAGCTTCTTAGCAAAGGTATGTAAAACTTATTGAGCGTATCGATATATCATAGCTCAACTACACTACAAAAAATGGCTACAAATTCTTACAACCTAGTAGAAACCTGAGTAAGACAATAAAACTGCAGCCCTCCTATACCTACAGGGCAAAGGCAAACCAGAAAGATAAAGTTGAATGAACCAAAGGTATGTTTTTGCTCATTGCTAAGGAGTGACGACCAAAATACTCTAGTTAAACTAATCACGAACTGTCTCAGCAAATTAGTTCTGGATTTTGATTATCCAACAAAAAATTAACGAAATTCTCTTGTAATAACCACAGAATATTTTATTTCAATTTATAGTCGCTAAAATGTTACAATTCAGTCAATTGAAACCTGAGAACATTAAACCTACATATCCAAACAGATTTCACAAACTCCGAACTTCTTTTAGTTTTGAGTCAAATTTGGTAACCACAAATTATCTCTCTGTGCTCTGGAAGAAATTATCTGCTTATCTGAAGTAAAGGACCAACGAGGGGAATTAAATGTGTGTTTAGAGAAGAATTTTTTACAAACAAAAGGTTGAAGGTATCCAGAATCTAGTATGTAGATCTGTTTACAAAGTTATCCATGGCGTATCACATAAGCAAGTTCTACCAATTTTCTGTAAATAAAAACGTTCCATTTATAGCATACATTTCATTTCAACTATTTTGAGCAAAAGGAGTACAAACTTTTATCCACCCATCCAGCGTATGCTTGTGGATTCTGATACAGTTATGAATGACTTCATCTATTAATCTAACTATACACAAAATCTCTAATCTCAATTAATTTACTTTAGCCAAAGAATAATGATGACTTACCTTAGAGTTCTTTAGTTGTTCTCTTATGAAAACTTTGAATCCAGAATTCGGTGGACTTTTTGGCATTCCATTTAGATAAGCAAACTAAAAATAGTAAAAAATTTTAAACAATCTAAATAAGCTTTCAGTCATTCAGTTACAACGTAGAACTTCGTATGTAAGTACATCAGTTGATGTTGCTATACCACATTAGCCCAGAGACGCAATTGTCAATTCAAATCCCGTAGTGGTAGTAGAGATAGTACAAGAATTACTGCTAATGGAGAAGATTAGGATTTGAAGATAATATTCAAGAAGTATAATTCAGTGAGATAAGTTTAGACAAACAAAGGTAGAGGTGTTGACGAATATAGAAGACCAGGATTTGAAAGAACACAAAGAGTGGATCCACCTGCGCCATTGCAAACGATTTTGAGCCATGTAATTCAACGTCTCTAACCATCGGTGACTTTCTTCTCACGGACCCCAACCAGGTAGCCCACATCTGCCAACATGACTTAGTCGTTTACAGAATTCTAGAGCAAAAAGTGAAGGAAATCATTCGTAATATAAATCAATCTTCCAATTAAAACTACGCTAGATAGTAATTGACATCACGTAACTAAAAAAAGTAAAGACTACTTAACTAAGTTACGGAACATTCTAGTACCACAAAGAAACCTGAAATCTGAATAAGTAGGAAGTACAAGTTACTGGTTAGCCTGAAGTGTTGACTAGAATAAATATTGATTCCAAGTATATTAGGATCATTAGTCCATCAACCGGTATCTCATATAGCTCAAATTAGTAATCAGATGGGTAATGTCAAACTAAGCTTCTTTGGTTTGGTTTTTCACAATATACTAGATATGAAATATATTTCGTTCGTGATAGATCTATTCGAAGATAAGTGTGCCAATTTTATGAAAGAAACGAAATCATCCGAACGGCTTGTAATCGATAGCTATTTTAGTTTCTGGAAAAACAATGATTATTTTAAAGTAATTCTAAAAGATGAGTTTAATGTTTATGTTTTAGGATACTGAAAACAAATTTTAAAAATTCAAGTAGATACTGGATTTAGTGAAGAGTACATGGGTGAAATGTAGCCTCGCATATAGTGAGAACGGAGTTATACCTATAATTGTCTCACATCAAGCCCACTTCCCCATCCGATGATATTTGAAGCGTTTGGCAAGGCAGTCATATTGGAACTGGGTGAGTTAAGATCAATGACTGTGTAAATCATTATGAGACAACCTATTTGACCTACATTACATGTCTTAACAGTACTAAAAACACCAACGCTATTTCCTGCATCAAGAATCGAGTCACCACCATTTTAAGTCCCAAAGCTGAACCTTAAGATAGTTTTAATTTTTCTAGACAATAAAGTAAGTAGCTATTTAACCAGAAATAAATAGTTGGAACATAACCTTGGTTGCTTTTTTAAGATGAGATTGATGTTCTTTTACTTCTGACTTCAATCTTTCTAATTCTTCATTGGGAAGGGATTTGTACGCTTTTGCTAACTTCTTGATTACATCTAAATTTGATAGTTCCGGTTTTGCAGACTTGACCTCATGAAATCTCGAATGAATAAAACTTGTATATGCATTACTGGTATTGTAGGTTGAAGTTGATGAAAGATGACGCAAGATTATGAAGAAATTGCTGAACAATAAATGAAAACTTTGGCTTACTTGACTGAGAATGGAGGAAACTGCATGTAATTGAGAGAAAAAGAAAGTTAAACTTTGGGTTCAGTGCTGAAACGAAAATTCAGAGAAAGCAGATTTCAATTACGTTTATAAAGAAGGAATATAACCAAAAACATGAACAGAAATTAGATGTGGATACGTTATAATACGAAAAACAGTTTGGCCGAGATACAATTAGAGAGATTTGTTTTAGTTAAGATCGTCCTTCTCATTTTTTGAATGGAGATTAAGAAAATCTACACCAGGAGCAACACTGACTTCTGTTCAGATCGGTATGATGACGTCTCAAGGTACTAAGATGCAGTATCCCTAAAATTCCACGAAGGAGAAAGTAGTAAACTGACAGATGCCAGTTTAACAGTTATCTTTGACACGCTTCGACCACGTTATTAAGTGACATTTCCAGTTTTACCAATCAAGTTATAATAAGTAAACTGGAACACAAAATTCGAATGCTGGGTCTTAATCGACTTCCAAAATTTTTATGGAAAGAATGATCAAAAAAGACTATAATTTCAGAATGAAATAAATAATCAACGACTTAAGTAATAAAGACATTACCGCCTTGTATCAATCAACCGTATGACCTTGATTTTAGGAAGAAAAATAAAATATCTAAAATCCAATATGGTTTTCACTATCTAGTACAGATCAGCTGATTTCTTTACTCTTAACTTTCGTTCTTTCGGTATGGGTACAGGTATTCGATAGTTTTTCACTCAACTTCACTAATTCTAGTCAGATGGTAGTTTTCTGTGAGTTTGTCTATCCCGTAGTTTGAACGAGTACGTTTGTTTCAGGGCAGTAGGGTTTCTGGATACTAGTAGCTATCACTTTGCCAGGGCAGCGATTATTTATATACAATTTTGATAATAATAATAATAAAGAGAAAAGTCTAATTCTAATGTTATATTTAGATGGCTTGGCGTGCCTAATTTGTTTTACGCAATGATAAGTCGCACCTGATTTGCCTTGTAAATCAAGGAGAACAATCCCGAGCGCTGGGGTCTATTTTCATAAGTTTTATTATTCAGCCTTATCACCTAATTAGTTGCTCGTCTCTACACTCGATTCAAGAGGTTTATGTTTTTTTAGGGAGAGGGTATATGACGACATTTTGAACTTCATGGTTTGGGCACGCATGTGTCTCAAACGTCAAGAATAATTCTAGGGTAATTGCACCAAGTTGTCTTCGCATAAAGTGAATAGTTGCAGTAACCTTAGCTGCGTTCTTTGCATAATTCAAACTGGTGTCGAGGATGTTAGTAGTAATTAAATCAAGATTACGTTCTCAGGAGACTTTTGTGAGCGGACTTCTGTTGAGGGTGGAGGTCGTTTGCGTTACATAGGGCAGAATCTACATAAATTAAAATTTCGACCGGTTTAGTATTAAACTGCTTTTCACTACCCATTTCTCATTAGATGTAAAGCCTCTTTGAAGTTGATTTGAATCCTCTTCAATTCCAATGCACCTCCAGATCTTTGAATCGTCTACGTAGATAATTGCCGTGGAGCAAGCATTGTTTAACAGGTCGTTGATAAATATCATCAGGAAGAGAAGTGGAACTAGGATGGTCCACAATGAAACTCCTGATGTTGAAACTCACTAACTCAAATGCGCTCTATTTACATTGGTATGAAGCTGACTATTCTGAAGAAAGTTTCTGTGCACAGATGGGAGTAGGTCAGTAAAGCCCCTTTCTGCAACCTTCCCGATTAAGCGTTCGTGCGGTACTCTGTCGAACGTTTTTTCAATGTCTAGAAATATCATGTGCACTGGTAATTTTCCGTCTCAACAGGATGGCCAACTGTCCTATCGTACGATAAGATTGGATGCTCAATACCTACCTTTCCGAAACCTGTGTTGAGCTTCATGTAGGATTTTATTATTGTCCTTGTAGTCCCTCATTTATTTTTTAACCAGTATTTTCACATTGCCTTTGATAGTACTGGTAGTAATGCGTCCTTTCTATTTCCTTTGAAGGCTGAAGAGAGAGTGGCTTCTTTCCATTCAGTTGGGAGTTGCCGTGACTCCAGTGAATGCCTGAAAAGGTCACATCTCCGTGAACTGAGGGCTTCCGCACACTTTTTTAAGACTAGCGAGCGAATACTGTCACAACCTGGTGTCTTTCCTGGACGCAAAGATTTTAACTTTTTCAGTACTGGGTCAGGAGTAGGTAAAATATTTCCTAGGCCATCAAGTGGTACTATGTTTGAGTAGTACTCTGAATGTGTAACTACTAGGTTTAACTGATTGGTGAATTTGGTGTTGAAGATCTCTGCTTGAAGCGCCCCAGTTAGTTCCCTTTGATTTTTGAAGTCCACAGCCATCAGACGTGGTTACTTAACGGTCCTGAGGCGTGACAAATGAGGCAGCCGGGAAAAGTTGGTTGTCATGGTTTTATGAAGGCCCACCGATAGCCATCACTACTGTTGCAAGTTATGCACGTGGACTTCATCCAAGCTAATATTAACCAGTTTGGGCACTCCATAAACTGCCATACTGGTCTGTTCTTGGGTGCCTTTTAATTTCCCGGCTGCTGCTCATACTGACCACGGTATGTTGTGCTTGACTAGGATTGGGGACCACAACTTAAGCGAGGGTCTCTGGTATGAGGGGAGCATATATGTTGCAAGTTTTGCCGAGTCTAAGGCTCCTCTAGCTTCTGAAAAGAGAGCATATTTTGGCTCTAGTACTGCTCGTTCCATAGGTTGCGCAGTTCTTGTCCTATTGTTCTTTATCAAATGCAGCTCTACTTTCCAAAAAGTTACCCTCCGACACTTGAAAATTTAATCTAATTAGTGAGTTCATTCTAACATACCCGTCCTTGTTTTCTAACATTTTACGAGTTTTGATGTTGTCGTTTCTCTTTTTGCACTCATGGCGCCGTACAGTTAACAGAAACGGAGGGGAAGGTTTGCAAGGACCGGCAGTTTTGTCAGTGTGTTGGTGTGTGTAACGGCTGCTTTAGTCTCCTCCTTCGATAGTTTAGTGCTGGAGATTTGTAGGTTAATTTCCCATTGGTCCTGCGGCTTTGCCAATGCTAATTTTTTGGTTGTCTCGTTGATTCTGCTTTGTGAACAGGTACATCAGAACCACGGAAAGAGGTGACTGAGCATGAATAAACAGAAATCTCTAGGTACTGTAGTGTCACAGTGACAATGATGCAGTGTCCTGCAGAAATTTAGGTCAAGCGCAGAGTCACTGGTTTTGACTGGCATCGAGCAGGCGATTCAGTTTTCTTTGTCTGAATTCTGAACGACAGACTGTGTCGATTGAGACTTGAGACCTACTTTTCTTCTATTCTTATTTTGCGTACTAGTCTTTCTAGGAGTAGAATCCGAGAAGTGTCGTCTCGATTTCTGTGTTAGAGACTCAGTGGAAGTGTTTGGGTCTAGTGGCCCAAATTGTGAAGACTGCTTCTAGGTACACCGTTAAGTGGCGTTTTGAGCATTTTCTCAATTCTGTCGCTCAAGACTGGGATTTTCGACTAACTAATAACACCAGAATTCATTCATCTAATGGTTTTCCTGGTAGTTATAGTGTAGGCAGTGGTAACAAACATACTACTGAACATGAAACCTGAGGGATTTAAAGACGAAGAAGAAAATATGCGAGATAGAAGTTTTGGAAGGAGTAAAATACTGAACACAAGTATAAACTTCGAGATAATATAACCTGAAAGACACCGTCTTAGTAGGCAAATTCGCGTGGATCCAGTAACTTCTTCATAAGTCCTGTGTTTGCGAGTGCCTGAATGTGTATGCTACCGAAGCAACTAGAGGAAGAGCAGCTAATCAAGACACTTAGACCAGTCACACTGTGGTTCAGACTTGGAATGATTCTGTTCGTCCGAACCGTTACTCAGATTGTCTACCAATGAATGGAGACAGCTTTTATTTCTCAGGGAATGATGACATATCCCAATCTGGTGTCCGAAAAACGAATCGTTTCCCGTAAATAATCGCAGCCCAACGAGGGTACGTCAATTTCGAAACGCTCATTAGTTCTTCTTACAACGCCGTTGGGAAGACGAACCACAGCTTGGAGTCTTTCGTCAGTATTAGTATCTAGATTACTGTTTAAATGTTTGTGAACAGGATAGAAGAATATCCCGTTTATCGGGCCTCCGTATATTGTATCAATGAATCACCGATATCTTAATGTATCCAATATCCATTATCTATTCACGAAGTCAAGGAATATTGTGTCGACCTTTTATGTTTGTTCTGAGCAGGTTGTCCAGCTGTCTCATGCTTTCAGAAGATTGGATGCTCACAACTTGTCTTTTTGAAACTCGCGCTGGGCTTCATGTGCGATGTGCTTCTAATCCACATACTACCACCAGTCTTTTGTGGGGACCTTTTCCTCGCAGTTGTTAATTTTGTCATCTGAGTGATTTTGAACTTTGGACAAATGTTCCAGAACCACAAGCATTGGTGATAGTCGACGTGCTTAGTAATGATGCGGCTAAATGCGAATGTGTTCAACTTAGTGAAACTGAGTCATTGGTTTGCATCCTTTAACTCCTATAAGATGAGTGCCTAATACACCTAAGACTTTTACCTTATTAGAGAACTTAAGATGATCTTATATTGACATTTTACATCTCAAACAAGTATTTAGGTGCTAGCACATCTTATATTTTCTCTCTCTTCAGAAATGAAAACTTTCGAGGGCAAAGTTAGAAGTTTCAATACCAAAGATCAAAACACTGGGAGAGATTTCATTTTTATGATCGAGTGGTCAATGACCGGAATTTCCAACACGAATAAGTGGTACCATTCCCATCGGCGAACACTTTTTAAAAGAAGCTGAATCTTCACTGGAAAACAGACTGTCAGGATTATCAAATCCCGAACAATCTACTATCCTTATTACCGAAGACTGTAAACTAAAGTTAGTAGTCCTAATCACTTCACATTTTCTGACTTTTTGACAGTAGTCGAGTTTTGATGCTTTTAGGGGTGGATTTAACGAAGTGGCTGAATATTTTGACAGATAATCATCATCTATAATTATATGGAAATCAACGTCACATTTTTGTAATCTATAACCTAGAATTTTTAACGTGATTTATATATTGTTATGTTTACTAACAATAGTAACCGTCGTCTTTGTTAAAGTGGCTGGAGTAGTATATAAGTTCAACGTAAATGCTGTAAAATAAATTAATTTCAGTCATTGTTGAAATAATATTATAAAACAAACTATGTGAATGTTAAAAAGCATCATTAACCTTCATAACGTTTGTTACCTGACCATATGTTACTTAACCTCAAGAGATGTAGGATTTCGGTCTTTTATCAATATCATTGTCCACTCACGCAACGAGACTGATAGCTACTTGTAGACTTATAGATCATCGACTTTGATGTGACTGTCTATGCTGTATGATCTTATGCGGAAGTCAGATAATGGTTTTTTTAATTTTTCTTATTGGTACATTTTGAAGTGCAGATTTTTAGGAACCTGCGGAAACTTAAGAGGGACAGATTTGGGCGAATGAAAGAGAAATATCTTTGATCTTACGATTAAACTTTTATCAGTAGAGTGCTTGTATAAGGTTAATGTACTGCTTTGGTACACCTTTCAATGACAAACACTGCCACAGAACCTCACGAGCCACTGAGTCAAATGCCTCCTTAAGGTCCAGGAAAACAACTATTGTAGGACGTCTAAATGTGTGTCTGTGTTCCAGGACCTGTCGTAGTGTGAAAATGTGGTCTATACAACCACGTCCAGGTCGAAAACCAGCCTGGTTTTCGCTAGTCTGCTCTTCACGAGCACTAGTAAGGCGTCTAAGCATAATCGAGGCTAACAATTTAGAAACTATATTAGTTAGACTTATTCCCCTGTGATTGTTACAAGAAGACTTTTGTCCTTTCTTATAAATTGGGACAGTCAAGGATTGAGACCAGTCGGATGGGATTACGTCCAGTTCCCAGATTCTACCTAAGATCTCAGTCAATCTAGCTGCTAAAGCTGGACCACCATCCTTAAATATCTCAGGAGTCAATCTGTCGGGTCCTGCTGCTCTCTTTTTCTTCAGATTTCCCAACGCTTTCTCAACTTCATAAAGAGTCGGGGAACTTACGTCGATTTGCCATTCAGGAGGACTGGAGATCGTGGGTAACCGAATAGTGGCTCGAGGCCAGTTGAACTGATCCCTAAAGTGTTCTGCCCATCGATCCCGTCTCCTGGATTGAGAATAAATAATAGTCCCATCCTTCTCCGAGATAGTCTCACTTACACTAGGATCCCTAGTACCAGTTTCCTTGATAAGTTGGAAAAGTTGTCTACTGTTGCCTATCGCCGCTGCCTTTTCCATCACTTTTGCTTTCGCCACCCCCCACTGTTCAGGGTCGTTGCGCAGGATTTTTATCAGCCAGGTGGGATGAGTTTTCGGGCATCCATCATTTCGGTGGATGCTATAGAGATCCATGGCTTCATTCTAGCCTTATAGCTAACCTAACTAGCAGACGCAACACCATAAAGTGATTAATTTATTTGCCACACAAACATATGGAGGCTGTATATTTTGCTTCAAACTCAAAAGGTTAACCTGAAGAGGTCGATTGAAGCAAAAGATAGCAAGACCTGATCAGTACATTCAATCGGTTAACCCAGCTGCTTATTTATTTTACGTCGATCATTTTAAATCTAATGAAACTTATTCTTCATAAGATGAGATTTAGGAGTCTGACAATCTGAGGTTAGCGAGTAATTCAAAGTGAGATGAAATCGTCTGTGAACTGACACGAATCAGGTAACTGATTTTTATCTGAGATAACGTTAATAATACTGAAAACCAAACCAGAATATTAAAGCAATCTGTTTTCCACTATTAAACCATCTGATTTAAGCTTTAATTTAATTTCGGTGAATATATAATGCAGACAGATAGCAGTTTTTGTCAACAAATTCAACAAAATCTCCATCATAGACACTAGTTTCGAAATACTTCTAGTCAAAATGATTTGAACATTCCCTTCAAACCCAATGCACACCGTAAAATTATATGTACTGAAGAAACTAATCGGTCTAGTAAAAGCGTGGCAAATCCAGAGATTCCTGAAACGGACGAGAAAACTGATACATGGAGGTTAAAATTATAAGCCACATGATGGTAACCGTATAACGTTAAGACTTTACTTCAAGAAAAATCCTTTGAAGCGCAACTCATTGAATTAAGACTTAATATTGTAGATAAGGGCATTCAGTACTCATGTCAGAAGGAAATATCTGACATAAACTGGATATTTCCCTCTATAGGCTGTGACATTAACTTGAAAAAATTATAGTAGTAACACTGATAAAGTTGGACAAATTATTTTACTTCAAAAGATTGGTGCATATAGATGTTCTAGTTCAGCATTCGTACTAGTAATGTATGCTGACTTCAATTCGTTTCTTGTTAGTATTTATATTTGTTAATAAAATGTACAACATACTGATAGATCCGATGGCATTTGACTGTACTGCAACACTTCTACGAAGAAAACGTGATTGGTGAAAAGCGAACATTTATTATTGTACTCCTTTTGTTTAACTGTAGTAATAAAACACTTACACTCGACCTTTTGTTATTGCGTTGCTGTTATCATTCATTCATAACTTGCTGCTTCCTATGTCACCCCCTTTCTCTTTCAAATATATTCTTTACCTCGGATTTACTTATACTTCATTGATGGGCTAGTAATTAGTAATTAGGTGGTGATCATAGTCACCACTAAATGGCAGTCATTCGTCGCCGTCTATATGATTCTGTCAAATCACTTTGTAGAATTACTATCTCGCCTACAAATCTATCTAATTTGACATAATCAACACCATAAATTAATAGTAGGCAAATGTTTGCTATTAAGTAAAAAAAGTGTTTATTTGAACCATTTTTATTTACATTTAATTTCTCCATTTTGTTTTAAATTCAAAATGAAACTACATTGAATATAAGTGAGTGAATTGATTAAAACAATCAATGAATACTCCACTTGATGGTTAATATATCAAATTTAACCAATTGAATAATTCTTAATTGAATACATAAACTAGTAGTCTAGTATCTTAATTAAAAGATATCCGTTATTGAAAATTGAATCGCATGATACAAGTGATTCAACCAATTCTATAAACAAAAGTCTATTTAATATTTAGTTTCATTGGTTAATGAGTGAAAACAACAGACACAAACGTTTTTAGTATTATATAAGATGGACTTGCTTTACGTCGTAAATAGTTTCTTCCAAACTCTGTATATGTTTTAATTTAAATGTTGATCATTAATAAATGGTTTTCGAATCAATTGTGATAAGTCCACTTATCAAAATGTGATTTTCTAAATACTAATGAATTTTCGAAATGACCATTGAACATTGAACAGTTTTGTTTTAATGCTCAACAAACATTATCGTCTTGTATGATTGGTTCTGTGTGTGTGTGTTTGTGTGAATCATACCTCATATTTGATGTCTTCTTTGTTTTTCTGTTGATAAAACAAGAATTTTATCCGGATACTTAGAATTTTTCTTTTAATAAACTTCACGAAAATCATGTTTTATTCAAAATAACTTAAATGAAACAAAAAACCAACGTTTAGAAGCAAATATATGTGTATATGTATTTCAACAAAATGCACAATCGGAAAAAAAATCGACAAGAAAGTACATACAACATAGTAGTAATTTTAGGGAAACGCAAAAAGCCCAAAATTATTAGCAAATTTTTATTACTAGTCATCGTTTCATAAGTGTACTGTAAGCAAAATAAAACAAAAAAAAAGCAAAATTATTCCAGGAAATCTCCGAATTCAAAAAAAAATTAAAATTAAAAATAAAAAAAATAATAATTTAAGCATTGAAATTTGAACTGTGTTAAATCATGACAATGTTATGCTTTAAAATTAAAATTACATTGAACAAAATGATTTTTGGCGAAGCGGAAATTTTGAAAAGCGGAACTAATAATAATAATAATAATAACAGTAATCTTTAAATTGTAAAAATAAACAATTTGTCACAATAAAATATTGTGAAAAATATAACAAATACAAATCAATCTTAAACATGACAAAACAATATACATCATATATCATACACATTAAAAAAAAATTAATTCCAATTCCTACTGTTTTTCATTTAAATTCTAGAAAGTTGTTCTAAAACTGATGGATATAATAATTTATGGGCATTTAAACCCCAAACAAAATCTAAATGATTATAATAAGGAAAATAATGTATCGATGAAATGGTATAATTGATTTGTTTAATAAGTTTATCAATATCATGTGGTGTTGCAAGCCAATCTTGACCACCATGATAAATAACTATGGGTAATTTTAAATGTGAAACATTATATAATGGTGGATTGGATTGATTGTAGATTTGCAGATTCTTTTCAGCGCCATAATCATATTTTTGAAAACGATCTGTATTGATACCCTTTTTTGGTGGAGGAGAAGAAAAAATAACACAAGATTATATTCCAAATAGCAAGGTTAATTGGAAAAAAGAAGTCAAAAGCGAAGGCGAAGGCAAAATAGATACAACGTGAGTGTCCTTAGAGTTTTTACATGAAAAGCGTCTGGAATGTAATTCACGTGATTGACTAGCACTGACTGGATTAGATTTAGCCAATCAGTATGCAGCTAACAATACGAGAATTTTTCAGCCTGTTCTTCAGGTATGGGCCAGGTGCTGATTGGATGGGAAATGAGCCAATCAGCGCGCAGCTAACTCAGTCACGCTTTAATCCATCTATGTTTCACCTAACAAATAAGTTTTTATCAGCGGCGTCATATGTTGGGTGCATAACATTAAGTGATGCGAAATTATTGGTCACAGTGAGGTAGTAATTGGGTTTGTATATTGTGATAACCATGTCCAGATATATTAGTCGAAACGATTGTTACTTGAGATCCTGCCAAAGCTAACTAGGATGGCCAGAGAATTGTCAGACTAAAAGCAGAAAACTCACGGTCCCAGAGCCAAATCGTACTGCTCGTAGTATGTAAGTAGGGTGTTAATCCCAAGAGAACACCACCTGTAGTTACTTAATAACTTTCTTACGCCTGTTACCCCTAATAGAGCATAGGCCGACGACCAGCCTTCTCTGAACTACTCTGTTTTCGGACTTCTTTTCCAGTTCTATCCAATTGCCGTTGATTCTTTTCATGTCTATCTCCATTTCTCGGCCTAATATGATTTTGGTCTTGCTCTTTCCCTTGACCTTGAGGGCCCCGAGTGAGAGCTTGTCTTGTGACGCAGTTGGACGCTTTCCTCAATTTATGTCCTATCCACTTTCAGCGCTTTTTCCTCATTTCTTACTCTGCTGGAATCTGGTTTGTTCTCTCCCACAGTAGGATGTTGCTGATGATGTCCAGCCAGTGGATCCTCAGCACTGTGCTAGACGAAATTTTAATAAACACCTGTCCCTTCTGGCTGATGGCTTCAGTAGTTTTCTAAGTTTCTTCATCATAAAGTAGAAACTTCTTGACTTGAGTGTTGGCTCAAAAGCAGTCTAACTCTGATCAATTTAGAGATTTTGCGCTACCTCACTCATTTGTCTTTGGTAGCTATTGCCTAAATCCGACAGGGTTGAACTCACGTCTTCTCACTAGGACTCTGAGAATTTCCTCACGAAGCTAGTCACTAGTGAGCACATTTTAAGACTTTTCAATTACAGTTATGGATATTGTCGTTTTAACACAGTGAAATCATCAGTCAATCCTCTGTTAGACGCTCACTGAATGACGACCGTTTTGTCCTTATAGTATGGTACTCATCACTGACAGTGCGCATTCCATAACACCTGCATCTTGCAGGATTCGAAACCAGGATCTACAGTCTTGCTCACAGACGCCTAACCTCTGGACCACAATATAGAAAACAAATACAAACTAATTTTTAAAAAAAATGAAGATCTTTTTCTCTCTCTCTCTTTCTTTCAACTTACTTGACAATAATGTACCATATTTTGAACTGATGTTCCAGCAGGTGTATGAGCAACATAGACTGGTAGACGAGTCTACATTAAATCGAAACAAAAATTAAATCAATCAATAGTATTAATGCTGATGAAAAAAAATACTATTAGTACTAAAAATTATGGGTGAAGGCAGTAACTACTACCAAAGACAAATGGGTGAGGTCGAGCAAAATCCCTAGATCAATCAGAGTTAGACATTAACAGTGTTGGATGTCGGCCCAGTGGTTCATATGTTAGGCGTTCGCGCACGATACCGAAGGTCCCGAGGTCGAATCCTGCTAGGTGCAGGAGTCGTGGATGCGCATTGGTGAAGAGTAGTCCCGGGACGAAATGGCCGTCTTACAGTGCTTCCAGATTTCCAATGGTGGTCTAACAATGATTGATTGATGATTTCAAATGTCTAAAAACACAGATCTTCAAAACTCTAACTGAAAATTACTGTATTATTTAATTGTTATAGTTTTATCATAACTAAGCTTTAAAGTAACACATTCTCTCATAGATTACAATTTTCTTTCGTATCATACCGTTCAAATCGATATCATTTTCGGTCTCTGATGATATATGATGCGGAAACAACAGACTACTTATCATTCATCATTCGTAGATGCGCACTGCCACTGATGAGTCCCGTAATATAAGGACGAAGCAGCCGTCTTTCAATGCTCTAAGGTTTCTTCTAATGGTAATGGTCTAACAATGATTAATTCGTGGTTTTGAAGAAGAAAATTCATCATTCATTTGTTCAAAAACTAGTGATAACGAAAATACCAAAGAATTTGTTTGATACCTATGTTATACAATAATTGACTATCATTAGAAACCTGAAAGTACTAGACGGCCATCTATTGCTAATATTGAGATTATCAACAGTGAACACCGAAGACCCCACAAGAGGCAACTACCTAACTTAGGAGCTTAAGTCTAAAGTGTGAACGCTTAATCTCTACACCACTAAGTCAATATCCTACGTTATTTTTGTTGTTTGAATGAGAAAATCTCCAAAATCATGACGGTGTCAAATCGATTAATAATTATTGATATTCTTTGTAAATTAAGTCAAGTATCAAAGTGAGTCAAATAAAATAGGGTTCGTTCGTTGTCATTTCATTTAAAAGAAACAAAAATGCATTTTATGTTAGATATTTGAAACATGTAACATATTTACGATAATTTTTGAAATCTCTAGCGGATATTGTTGCTTGATACTCAGATCAGAGGTCTAGAACACTGACTATTGATTGCAGTTACAAGTAGAGCAGAGAAAATTCGTTGTGAATTTGAATGTACTCTTCAGTCTATTAAAAATTGACCATTGAAAGATACAATATGCAGGAATCAATAATTTATATATGTACAATTGTACTTTCTTTTTATTAACCATATTTTGTCTTATGTAATCAATTTTGAGTCTAATTCTATTGTTCGATTCCTACTGGTCAATATTATGGACGTCTTAGCTATCAATGTCACATACTTCGATCTGGTTTCCCATTCATCGTCCTGAGTGTCAATGTCACAGACTTCAGTGTTGTTTTCTATTCGCCCTGACTGTATAAACAAGCATTATCTGTAACGCTTTATGATCGGACCCGGCTACTTATTACGGGATTCTGATTCTCTTCTGGCCTCGGACCTCGTTTTTTCTGAATGCTTGTAGAATACATGTTCTACTTCATATCAAGTCTTCTTTTACTCAATGTGGGTTTGGGACGTGCGGATTTAAGTAGTATGTCGTTTCACCAGATCCTCGCTCTCGTTTTCCGACTAAGGTAAACTCATAATAGTTCAAGCATATCAAAATAACGTGTTTACGTGCATGCGTAACAATAAGTTGATTGAAATATGCAACAGTTAAAATTAGAATACCAATAAACCAATCATTATTCAAGGCTATAAATAATGATTATAATTTCGTTCATGTTCATGAGATATATACATTTATATTGATCTTTCAATGTTTCTAATAAATCTGTGGAAAAAATAATACCTTATCATGCCTAACCAGTAAACGGGAAAGTATTAATAAGACAAGAAAGGATTTGTTAACCTGGAACCTCTAAATTTACATAGATATTGGACTTAAGTGGTTATAAACAGTTGTCAGTACAATAAAGAAAATCTTTTCTCTTAAGTCACAAACAACACTTATCCATTCATATCATAAAAATAAATAACAAAATAAATTATCTGTAAGATTGCCGTTTTGAATAGAACATCAATGAATCGAAAGACTTCCCAATTAATATAGAATACTGGATGCACTGGACGGTTGTTTCGTCCTGGTATGGGACTCATCAGTAGTTCACACTCATGACTATTACACCTCGCAGGATTCAAAACCAGAACCTTCACTTTTACTTACGGATGCCTAAACTCTGGACCACTAGGCTGGCATCCAACGGTAGTAATGTCTAACTCTGATCAATCTAGAGATTTTGAGCGACCTCATCCATTTGTATTTGGTAGTTACTATCTACACATGACAGGGTTGAACTCCACCGGTCATGCCTTCTCATTAGATCTCCGAGAATTTCCTCACAAAGCTAGTCATTTATGAGTACATTTTTAGAATTTTTTCAACCAGAATGCTTCCAGATTTCTAATGGTGATATTCTAACAATGATTGATTGATTGATGTTTAAAAAAAAATCACTAATCTCTATAATTCTAATTTGAAAACAAAATCCAAGTTAAAGAATAATTAAGTGAACAGGTAATTTTCATTTCTATTTCCAGAGATTCTTCTTGATTTCCTCCTCCACTGGAATCTGATTTGTTCTCCCCCACAGTAGGTTGTTGCTGATGGTGTATGGCCAAAGTATTTTTGATAGACAACTGTTAATAAATTCTTGTATCTTCTGGATGATGGCTTTGGTAGTTCTCCAAGTTTCCGTCGCATACAACAGAAATGTCTTGACATTTGTATTGAAAATTGTGACTTTGCTGTTAGCTAAACGAAAGTTGTTTTGAGTTCCAGTATCAGTGCAACTCCTTGTACTTGTGAGGCATTTTCTTCATGTCCGCAGTATGACAGCAACTCTCTTGAAGCTACTCCTAGTTGTCCAATCTGCGTTCAGTGTGTTTCACTGATTCCGAACACCTTCAGGTTGTATCTTTTCATCTCTACAGTAATTTGGAACAGTTTTCCGGTCTCCCACAATGTTCGAACATTCCATATATCCAAAAGAATGATTACTTTGTTTGTCAGAATGAGCATCGGCCTCGTGACTTCCTAAGGAAACCGTCTTTCATTATGAGAAGTCATCACTCTTCTGAAAGAAGGCCTTTTAACTCTCAGGGTAGAGTTATGCATTTTATTCATTTCAGTGTCATATTTGTCTTTTTTTCTTCTCACTATTATATCATTAGTACACTTTATAAAAAGAAAACCAATCTGATCATGATGAAATGACCTTTTCAATTGACCAATAACACAGTGTTGTTAGTACTTATTCTATAACAGCTGTACACAATTTGACCGGTTTTTATTTTTAAATTTATGAATGTATATCTTTGATTTATTTACTTATTAATTTTTTCTCTGACCTTTTGTAAAATCATACGATTATTATGGCCTAATTATGATTGTAGAGAATTGGATGATTTAATGATTATTGAGAAAAAAACAGTTGTTTGTTCAGACAAGTTTTCTCTTTTTTTGATTGTTTGAATTTTGAATTTGAAGGATCTTTCGATCATTAGTGTCTCTGATGCATTGCTTGTTTATCTAGGGACAACCAAGTAAGCAATGCTGTAAGGATGTCAGATCAATAATCGATGAAGTATTGAAACTCAATGAATTAAAGTGGTTGGAACCAATGTTACGAATGCTTAACCATTGACTGCCTCGTTCAGCTATGTTTTGTGGTATAGGGGTCGGATAAAAGAAAGCCTAATTACTTACGCCTAGAGGGTCGGCCAAACCAAAACATGATACGAATTGATGAAGTCACTGACAAGTGGATTGAGTCAGCTTGGTAAGTGAAGACTAGCTGGCCAGGCTCGGCGAATTGATAGGAACCAATGGTTAGAGACTTTGAATGACATGGATCAAAACCGTTTGCATTGGCTCAGATGCATACATTCTTTGTGATTTCTCAAATCCTAATCCTCTGGATTCTACATCACCTTTATCTTTCTCTTTTGAAGTTTATTTAATTGGATTATACTTCTTGAATAATATCTTCGAACCCTAATCTCCCCGGTTAATGCTTATACTTCTATGACCTCTGTAATAAATCCACTTTTATGATGAGAATGTGATTGGTTTAATAGAAACTTTCATTATTACAACCAATTGTATCAGTGGTTGTTTAATTGTACTTTTTGTTTATAACACTCTCTTTGCGCGCAAACTTTCTGTTTGCGTTGCTGTCATTCTTTGCTTCACCGTCTCTGTAATTTCGCCCCTCTTTTCGGTATTCTTTCGATACTGCGAAATCGCTAGTAAATATATTCTTTACCATGGAATAACCCTTCTTCTCTGTGACGAGCTCGTAATTAGTCTGTATTAGTGATCATAGTCAATCTTGACGCGATCCTCACTACACCTTTACTACTATGCGATCTGAATTAACAGTTGCATCTCTGTGTGCTAATATAATATGATAACCTGAATTGGTGTAAGTACCTACGAATAACTTCGTTGTAACTGATTGACTCACTGACTAAGGATCTTCTCAAGTTCACCCAATGGAAGCCTAATAATCAAACTACTAACTATAGACTTTAATGTAACATCATAAATATTATTGATTTGAATCAAAATATTCTGTGTCATTTTTAATGTTAACACAATCTATTAAGTTTTTAATTTGCATAAATGATTGTTCCTGAGAAAAAAAATAATAACTGGATTGTTTAGTGTTCTGCACACAAAACTAGTTTATACATACATACATACCTTCTCCCTTATACAGAATTCAAGTTATTTTTGGCACTAATCACATGACGGGAAACATATTTTTATGGTGTTAAAAATTTCATAAAATATGAATTTTTAATTTAGTTCATCAGGTGATAAGATGACGTCAATA